CCATTTGTATTGTTAGGAAGTTAGACATTCTTGTTACGCACGACGAATTTACTAAATTCTTATAGTATCAAGTTCTAGTAATTCTATATAATATAGCAGACCCTCCATACAAATAACTACTCAGAAATGACAAATTCAGATGGATCAACTCAATTCTTTGCAAAGTAATAAGTTCCATCCATTGCCTCCAGCTTAAAGGGGACACAAAGTTGTGACAAAATCTCCTCCTTGCTGTGATATTCCCTCTACCTCCTGTTAGTAGCAACTGCAAGTCAAGTCATATTGATGTGCAACAGCATAATAAAGAAGAACCTGAGAATCTAGAGAAGCCTCCCAGATGGTGATCCAGCATAATTTCTTCCGACGCCTGCAAAACGAAACATTGTTTAAGAGGAGCAAAAACCAAATTAACTTCTCTAATAACCTACTTAACCATGCAATTGTTGGGGCGTTTTTGAAGCTTCAAATTGCTTGGGTGCAACTTACACCCTGTTCCATTTTCAGTTCCCCCCTCATCATCATCATCCTATTATGTTCTTTCTTTTCTACCGAAATCTCTTCCAGAGCAACCACTAATAACCTTCTTAACCATGCAATTGTTAGGGCGTTTTTGAAGCTTCAAATTGCTCGACTGCAATTTACACCTTGTTCCATTTTCAATTCCCCCGTCATCATCATCCTGTTATGTTCTTCCTTTTCTACCGAAATCACTACCAGAGCAACCTGAATTTCATTGTGACAATGTCTATGAGAGAAGGGAGAAATCATGAAATAAAATGATGCTAATGATGAAGATTTTATAGCGAAGGTAAACAATCAGAAGACTTAATATTTCAAGATCTTTGCAAATACTTGAAACAGTTGTTTACATGTTACCAATATTTTTTTGTAAAAATAGTTGTTTAATAGCTTTACCACGACAGAGAAAGGTCATAAAAAAACTTCTGAATAATTGGATAGTTGAGTTGATTAATTACTTATCAAAACTATTGATTCGGTACACAAAGTGTGTCCATATTTATGAGTGCTTTAAGTTTTGGTGTTAGAGATGAAATGCTTTCCAATTAGTTATGTAACACGTTCTAACATAAGAATACATAAGAATACAGAAACAAAAATTTACCTCAATAGCAGCATCTAGTTGTAGAAGTACAGAGAAGTTGTTTCAAGGTGAGCAGCATGAGAAAATTGGGGTAGCTGCTCCAGTGGATCTGAACAACTGTTTATTGGTAAGGAATTTTTCGTCTGACAATTCCAAGAAGAAGACTCACATTAAACCATTACAAAAAAGGAAAAAAATTATTTCAATAATCTATCAAAGTAACTCACTCTCAAATGACCTTCCACACTTTTAATGCAGCATGACAAATGAACATTGTAAATAAGAGATATAACCCAAACTACATTCGAATTTTGATGCAATGAGCAGACTCAACATATCCTAGAAGGAAAAAGTAAAGCACAAAACAGACAAAGGAAACCCTCAGCACAGACCAAAAGGTATAGAGCTCACAAAGAGTGGTTGAGTTAGAGAATGCAAAGTTAATTACCATTTGGACACAATCATACAATAAACCATGTCCCAGAAAACTAATAACAATTTTTAAACGAACTATCATTAATGTTTACTTTTTATGAGAATTAGCGATGGAACATAGGAGTTACAATTATCCATATGATAGATTGTAAACAGTGTCAGTAGAAACACTTGAACCTTTGCCTAAGAGTTCAAACACAGTAGAAACATGGCTAACTCTAACAAAGCTAAAATCTCATCTCAGCAAAAATCTCTAAATAAGTATAACACCCCATGAAAACCCAAAAAGTCCCAATAATCTGAAGACTCAGTTTCACAGGCCACAAAAGCCATCAGGTTGCCGAAGTTAGCATGCCCAAACCATTAAATTAGCAATTAACCACATGAACCTTCCATAAGCAAACCTTAAAAGATTAGTAGGTTCCAAGAAGAATATAACCTAAAATCCCTTAGTACTGAAACCTGCAAAACATGCATCCAAAATCAAATTAGACAAAAATGAAGAAACATCATAATCTATTCCTAGAGATAGGGGTGGTGTTTACTGTCAAAGATAACTGTGTGTTAAGAGATAGAGAGGAGAAGAAGAGTTGTTATGCTAACCTTGGGAATGCATTATGTGCTTAACATGATATTGATGATATGCAACATGGATGAGCATCACTCCCACCAAACTTGGGAAAATCATACGTCAACAACCGAACACCAAACTCTTCCATGAGTGAAGCGTTACCTCCACATAGTCCTACATTTTCATCAACAAATAGAAATCAGCCAAGATCATACCTATAGTTTTGAACCATGGACTACCATACCTGTATGGCTAGACGACAGAAAGTTGTGATGCGTCCTCCCTTCCAACTTCGAAAACGACCCAACATTCAAATCTACCAATTGCATCAACCAGAAAGAGAAAAGAAATTCCCCAGTGAAGATTCCGAATATTATCCCGCTTTTATCATATGGTATTATTGAACAGTTCTATGGCTGGCGTTGGGAAAAGAGAAGTAGGTTCGAGAGGCAGAGAAGCAAAGTCCAGGTGGTGGTACCGGTTCCAACCAGCCATCCCATTCGTCGCACACTCCTGAGGCGTCAGCTGCAGGCCCGTCATCGACAGGGAGTACAGACCCCGGAAGCTATCCTCTTGTTTATTTGTGCAAACTTGTCGCCGCCTTCAGCAGCGTCGTCGGAAGCATATCCATTGAACAGTTTAGTTGTGAAGCAGATATGAAAATTGAAGGGGAAATATTTTTTAAGTATCCATGGACTTGGACAAAAAAACTGGAAAAGGTAACAATACAGAGCTCACCAGGAGTCTCTTCTTCGACGTTTCAAAGGCGGCAATCTTTGATAACAACGAACCCATTTCCTCTGCTGTTGTTTTGCGGGATTTTTTGTTGGATTGCTTTTACGCTTTGGTCAGTTCTCTTGACCCTTGCTGTTTCTTCTTCTTTTTTCCATGTTTGCCTGTGTTCCGTTTCTGCTCCTTTCCATATTTTGAATGAAAGCTTCACCATCACCAAAAAAGTAAACAATCTCAAAATATAGAACTGTAGTAGAGATGAGACAAGAACATGGAGGCAGCAAGAACAGGGAGGCAATGGGAGGGGATCATACCATTCATTCTCAAGTTTGTGGACATGCGCACAAAGACCTCCATCAACCGTGGTGTAGTCGTCGACCGGAGGAGGAACCGAGAATTGAGGTGGCAGCTGATTTATGTATGGATTTTTCTGAGCTCATTTTGGGGAAATAGGTAAGAAATGAATGAGAGCTAGGCAAGGGTTTCAGACTTTTGGTGGGTAAGAGGAAACATGTGGAATGGAGGTAAATGGACCGGAGAGGCAGAGAAGGAAAGGGAGAGCTGATGGTGCAGACTAGAAAGTTATTTTTCTGATTATGGAAGAAAATTGAGGCTTGAGAGTGGGAGTGATGTAAATGGACAGTGGAGAGGGAACCGAATGTGTGAAGAGATGATTATGGAAGAAATTTTGGGATTGGAAATGGGAGTGATGTAGATGGAGAGGGAAGAGTGTACGAGAAGGATTTGTCAGTGGGAGGCAGAAAGAGAGGGGAAGGTGAAAGTTTTATTTTGAGTTTTATTTTGGGGTAGTTCAACGTTTTTGTTGTTCTCTTTTTTGACAGTTTTGAAGGCCTTTTTAGTGAGAGTTGGGAAGAGAGAACTCACTAAAGTGTATCCAGCTTTTATCTATAAGGGGTAGTTCAACGTTTTTGTTGTTCTCTTTTTTTACAGTTTTGAAGGCCTTTTTACTAAGAGTTGGGAAGAGAGAACTCACTAAATGACAAAAAGTGAAACAATGAAAATGAAGTTTGGCCAATAAAGTGTATCCAGCTTTTATCTATAAAAAAATTGGTTAGGTGCTCTATTCTTTTTTTTTTTACACTCACTCGAGCATTGCACGAAATATGTTGGTTGGGGGATAAAAGAATATTAATTTTTACACGCCACCCACGTCAGAAGCATGAGACACCTATAAATAGGACACTCATTATGCTTTCAAGGCAGCTCATTTTGGAGTTGTTCTCCCCTAAAAATTACAACACAAACACTATTCACACATGATTAGAAAAATTAAAAAAATAGTTTGATAGCATGAAATTCAGAGATACCTCAATGACATAAGAGACGACAACCAAGAACTGAAATCATAACCCAAAACACCATTTGCCCTAGCCTCCTAGTTTTATACATGTAGAAAATATGCTACTTATCAAACTCCTTGGACTACTCTTAAAAGCTGGACATTAGACAGTGAAGGCAACACAAGCCACAGGGGATGATGAAATACAGCCAAGCAAGCATTTAATGAGATGACTATGTTGCCAAAAGAATACCGCATCTACAGTAAATTCTGTAATCAACATTCTCACATTCTCAATACCTAGGGATGGCAAAAATATCCGTAACCGTGGATATCCGCCCGAATCCGGCCTAATCGGGTAGGGTAAAACCCGAACCCGAAGGACATTTAGTGGGTATGGGTAAAACCCGAACCCGAATATTGCGGGTAATGGGTGGGCATGGGTTTCACACTATCCAACCCGAACCCGCCCGATTATATACATGCACATGTATTTTGTCTAGAAATAATCATTATGTTTCTCTAACATATTTTATATTTATCATATAAATATAATATTTTCATGAAATTGTGTTGTTTTAATTAATTTTCTTCATTCTCATGAAGTATTGTCGTACTTTTCCTCTTACGTAATGTGAGAATACGTATGAATGTTAACATATTGGTTGGAGTTATGAAGAGAAATTATTACCCATGGATAACCGTGGATATCCGAAACCCGAACGGGTATGGGCATGGTTTTGATTTTCTACCCGTTTCACATGTGGGTATGGGCATGGGTAAAACCCGAACTACTTTGGGTAGGGTAACGGATATGCACTATCCGTCCCCGACCCGACCCATTGCCATCCCTATCAATACCTGCTCTCTCGCTGGTTTTTAAGCTTCTATCTGTTTATATTCATTCAGAAAATAGTACTCATAAGAAGGGGAACCAAATTGGGCGTTAGAGATCTTGAAACTGGAGAAAAATGGTTTTCCATTTCTGTATGTACAAATTTCAAGCCTACAACTGAAACCAGCAGATCCAAAATAATAACATTGAATAAACGAATTGTAGTAGTACTGGAGAAAGCCACACATTAGTTACAAAAGGCAGGCAAACCCTTCATCCTTCGTCCCACGGTTTAATAGAGCTTTATCCTTGTGCTGATTGGAGTCCGGCAGATAGGGCACAGTTGAAGGTTTGCGTTTTCGCCACACTCGCGACATGTCTGAAGCCACACAAAAAAAGAACCATCAAACCCAAATATCAATCAACCTCCATTCAATCTCAAGTTTCTCACAGATAAAAGCACAAAGAAGAAGGAACTACTAAGAAAAAATACGCACTTGGTGCCCACAGCCGAATGCCAGGTCCTTCGCGTTGCTGAGGCAGATAGGGCAAAGCTGTACAGTTAAACAGACCACAAAAATGTGTGTCATTTGAGGCTGCCACTGCAATAAAAAAAACTCTTGGTTATGCGGAAAAATTGGCCGAAGCATAAGTAACTAACCTGGTTTTCGTAGGTTGAACTTGTGACTGGCGGTGCTGAGCTGATCGGATGGGTGTCTGGTTCATAAACCGGTACAGTAGGATTAAAGCTGGTAGTAGGCTGGAAAGATTTGGAGCTGGTAGTAGACTGGAAAGATTTGGAGTTACTAAAGGATGAGGACCCATAGACAGGAGGTGGGAGTGCAACCCTCTGAGGAATATTTCCCTTTCTACGACTGCAGATTTGAAAGAAAAAGAATTTAGTACAGAAAATAATAGATGAAAGAAAGATGTCTGGAGGAAGGCATGGAGGGGCATCAATTATATCTTTACAGGTGTCTCATTGAGGGGATCCCGGTAGAGGCTTTCCCAACTCAGCCCATGAAGTCGTGATCTTTAACTCAAAATACACTCATGTATGCCCGAGCGGACAAAAGGAAAGAAGAAGCTCATATATAGGAAGATAAGAATTAATCCTGACAAACAGAGAAGCAAAGAAGTAGCTGAGCCGTTACCCCAATAAACCAAGCTCCATCGTTGCCTTGTATTGAGGAGGAATTTCCATGAGAGCAGAAAGTGCAAACTGTGTCTCCTTGCGGGATTGGTCCACGTTCTTCAACATAATCTCCGTGAAATTTACAAACTACATGAATAAAAGTTGAGATTTTTATCGTTTTCTGAAGATGATCATAATGAGTGGGAAAAGAGAAACTAATGGAAGCGATCCCATTACCTGGAAATTATCAAACTCTCTAGCAGGGATGTTATCATCAAACTCCTTCATCGTGTCCCATGGGCCATCCCCAACCCCTACCAAAACAATAGACAAGGGAAGCTTGCTGCAGAAGAGGAAATCCATGATCAGGAAACAAGTGGCACATTCCACTCAACAGTGAAACACAGGAACATGTATAAGGAAGGAAAATAACAGAGGAAATCATGTAACAGATTGTTTACCTGGCTTGTACAATGGCATCAACTGTCTTCTGCTCCTGTGGACTTAGCCGCCCATGCTCAGTGTCAACACTTCTAGTAACCTGTGACATGGTAAGAACGTGATTATAAACTACAGATTCTCATTGACAATTATTATCTGTTATATAATTTTTATCATATACTGAGGCGAATTACCTGCCCATCTGCTATTATCAACAATACATGATACTGGCCACCACTCTCCTCAACAATAGTCATTGCCTTCTCAATGACAGGTGCAAATGAAGTCGGACCTGCCAAAAAAAAGATGCATAAGCTCCAAAAATAAATTAGTGTAGTAATTCTGTCCATGGAAAACAAATATGACTCGGGGAACATGTAAACCAAACCTGCAAGTCTCAGGCTTGGAACAATTTCTCTGTATCGGCTTAAAACTTCTTCAAATCCATTACAGAACCTCTCATCCTGATAGAAACTGAAGACATCCTGATCGTGTGTCGTAGCTGCCAACGGATAGTAGTATTGTAGTAACTCTCAGTAACACAAGTTGCGTTGTAATTCAATTATAGAAAACAATTCTTAGAGTTGAGACCCTACCGTCTCCAAATCCGTAGCAGGGAATCAAGTTGTCCTCATCAAAGGCAGCTAAAGTCTTCCCAATAATAGAAATTGCTTGCTCGTAGGGATTCAAGGTATCTCCAATGTGATGCAAACTTTTTCTGTTGTAAGACTTTGCACCTAGTGATCAAACCATATTAAGCAGCATGTTCACAATGCAAACCTAATTTACACATCAAAGCATACAAGAGAAACAAATACCCGTCCACTCGTTGCTTTTCGTAAAGTCAATTCCAACAATGAGATTTGATGATTCAAGTCCAGCACGTGCAAGAGCTTCAGTCACCTGCAAAGAACCATACCAGTAGGCAGTATGATCAGAACCTATATTACCACAAACCAGGAGGTAAGATTGAAGGATGTCCCTAAAATCAAATCCCATGCATAGCCAGCCAATTCTCATCCAATAAACATCAAACAGACAAACATAAACTTGTAAACACTTTACCTGGTCCAAGGATTTATAGTCATCGGCAATTATCGAATACTTTCTATCAAGCCGCCTTCTATCACCACCTCCAACTTGAGCTGGCGGTGGATAGTTTGGCTGTGTGGGAGGTTGCTGGGGTGGCGGATAGCCATATCCATAGCCATCTTGACCATACGGCTGCCCATAATAAGGTTGTTGAACATAATCCCATGAAGATGCCGCCGCAGACGAGGAATCCGACCTCCAGCTCCCTTCCCTCGAGTTCTTTGCTCCCATGAAAAATTCACAATACTCTGCAACAAAAATCAACAAAGGCTCTCTCTTTATCTCAAAAACTAAACAACCCACAATACAGAAGCCCCTAGCAAGTCAAATTTCCTCCAAAAGCACGATATGAATGGCTGTTTCAACTTGCAGAGAAATATATAATAAGATGTTTTGGGGTTTTGGTAAAAGAGATGAAACATCCAGGAAGCACCCAAATTAGCTTACTTAGCCAACAAAGAATGACTCTCTTCAAGAGGCTGCTGGCTGCTTGACTCGCTCACGTAACTCGGCTTCTCTTCTCTACCCCGCACCGCTTTCTTACCGGTTAAAGTTCCTTTTTTGCGCCTAATATTTCTCTTTCCCCTTTTGTCTCTCCTGCCAGAAACGTTATTACTGCTTACATACAGAACTAGCGGCCACAGCTCCAATTTTGGCAGAATGCCGAAATTGGCTACGGTAACTTCGCCGACAATCCACTGATCGGAAACCTACCAGATGATGACCGATGGATTGATAAAACCCAACCGGCATTCCTCGAGATTATAATAGGAGACCTAGGTTTCGTATATTTATCCTGACCTCTGTTTACGAAGCAGGTCGGAGAGGAGGGAGATGGTGTAGCATCGTCTAAGAAACTTGATGCGTGGAAGTTTCAGTCTGCCACAGTGGATTATTTGTGTTGAGTAGATCAGTAACAAACCGGGAGATTCAGCAAAGGCGGATCTGAATCGGATTCCGGAATCGAGACTTTCTTGTTTCTTGGTGTTGGTCTTCCGTGGAAGGGGAAGAAAAGGAAGGGAAAAGGAGAGCGGAGGAAAGTGAAGAAGCTTTTTTGGCCGATACTGGAATTTGAGCCTTTTTTTTGGGTCAGGGAATTGATTAACAATGGCGGAGTGGCAGGCATACGATGATGGCAAAGATAGAAGTTTCGCGGCAATGGTATGCCAAGTAAACACTCCACGATAGTATTTTTAAATAATTTTGTATGCGCTTTCATTTGTTTAACAAATGCATTTGTTAAAGATTCCAAGTTTAAACTAGATTGAAACCCGTCCCGTTGGCCGGATGCAATATCCCAAAATTAAAAATATACGGACTATTAAATTAGTGAAAAAATAAAAAATGACTAAACATCATAATATTTTCTGATCAGTCATCAATAAAAGTATCATGCATGTTGGATGGATGCATTATTTCAAACACATAAGTAACAATTGTAATTGTACTAAGCAAGATATATTTTTATTAATATCAAAAGTCAAAATATTTGAACTATTCAATTAATGGGAAAATAAAAAAAAAGAACATGCATAAAAGAGTTTTCTTATATTCTAATCAACGAAAGTTCTTACTAAAAATTAAAAATAGAACTCGTGGAAGGGGACTGACTCTTAAAAAACTTAATCAAACTACATTCAATTTACTACTTGAGTATAAATTACTATAATTTTTCTTATGGACTTCTTTGCTATTGCTTCACCATATGTATCATCATCTCTATCAATAATTATAGTTTTATATTCATCACTAAAGTCTCTCTATCTATCATCAATAGTCTATCTCTTATTCTGAACAACGTCAATGCTCACTATCGCTATTTTTTAATTCAATACCTCCATCAAACGAATTTTTCTTCTTCAACTTCATTTCATTGAAATTTTACTTAAGCGTTAAACTAAGATGTTGGCAAATATGAAATATTTATCTTTTTTTTTTTTTTTTTTTTACATAGACAGTAGTCAGGTAAATCCCTGACCAAAATATAGTCAAAGAACAGAAAATAACACCGTGCGGCGGTCGACAAATAGTCGAACTACCGATGAAAGGGCCTGATATGCCACAAAATGGGCAGCCCTATGAGCAGCTGTACCTGCAAAATGAACAAACACATAGCCACAAACGGCCGAATATCTATAAATATTGAAAACAACTATGCCAAAATCATTGCTCCTATAACCTCAAGCAAAACGCTTCCTCGTCAAGATTATCCAACCGGCCATTAGAGTTGCCAAACATGACATTCATCGGCCCTCCAAACGACTCCGTCCAAAAGCCCGGATGAGCAGTGTACCCGGAATGCCAACCGAAGCCGCACCCTTTCCGTAGAAAGCCATAGAGCTCCATAAGCAGTTAGAAGTGACCTGCAAAACAAGAAAACAAATAGGCAATCCAAATGGATCTCAGAGCTGCCGGTTGGACATCCTCATCAGCAAAACAGTACGAAATGAATGAGAAAGGAGGACTCCATCGTGGAGTAACATTGATAGGCTCCACAACGGAGAGGGCCATCACCGGCAAAGCACGATGTCAACCATTATGAGTCAATACGGACTCTGCAACCCACTTACAAAGATGGGACTAATATTTTCTTTTCTAGAATAAAATTTTTAAAAAGATTTCATAGTTAAAAGAAAATAAAACGGATAAGCTTTGGAAAGAATAATAAAAAAATTAATTAAGAAGGAAAATTATAAAAGAAATTAAATAAATAATAGTAAAAATAAAAATGAGAGAGCACTTATCCGGCGTAACCGCCACTGTCCCGGAATCGTAACCGCCAATGCCAACGGCGACTTTGTCGTCTCCCATCGTCACGAAGCCGTCCTCCTAGCACCGTCGTCGTCGCTGTCCTCGTTCATGGTCGGCGTCTGATCTCCCTTTGTTGGTCGCCAGAGCAAAGGACGGGAGAGGAGAGAGAGGAGTCGCCGCCATCATCGGCCCTATTCTCTCTTATTCGGTGCTCGGTAAACCGTAACCCGGTGGCGGCAATATCTGGGTAGAAGATTCGTCGTCGTTGGAGTTGAGAGACGGAGACGACGACTTTGGCGATGGGGCGTGAAGGGTCGTCGGGGAAGGGCGAGCGGAAGGAGCGAGAGATTCGAAACGGTATAGTCGATCCTTGGAGCAGAGAGCCGATTCTACGGCGACTTTTGCTTAGATTCTTAATTGGCTACTAACCCAATAGTTTAAAATCCCACACGTTTAGTTTCCAAACTAAAGATTATAAATATTTAAGTGGACATACTGAGTATTAATGAATAAAAATCCTAAAACTGCACGTATACATAATGTGGACATATTTATTTGATTTAGAAGTCTAAAAATATTTGGCCTATTTATTATTAACTAATAAAAATCCTACTACTACACATATAAATAAGTATAGACATATTTATTTGATTTAGAAGTCTGAAAATATTTGGACATATTTATTATTAATGAATAAATCCTACCACTACACGTATAAATAAGGTATAGACATATTAATTTGATTTTGTAGACTAAAAAATGCTTTATTTTAATTGTTTAAATGACAAAAATGTTCTTCATACAGACTCTCACAAGGCTGGAAATTTGGAATAGAGTATGTTGTGATGAAGAATCTCTATATAGTAATGGGAGGATATTTCCAGCCAATATTAAAAAATTTATGAAAAAATAATTTTTAAGTTGGAACTCGGGTGATGTCATTCAAACAAATGAGTTAAAAGGATAAGAGTGTAATACATATACATGGGGTGGGGGAGAGTGTAACATGGTGGGTCGTTAATGAGGAAATATGCTAAATTGAGTATAATAGTTAATTGATATCGAAAATTAGTTGTGTATAAGTGAGAATAGTTGATCCCGAGGCTTTACGTTTGAATTTTGGTGACCACATTTGTTAAGTACATAGTATGCAGATTTGTTCAAACTTCAATTTCTATAAGTTGACTTTCTTGTGAGGATGTACGTTAGTAAATAGTATAAGATTATATAATTCAACCTCTCTCAACAATTCGATTTATTGATACTAAATGGTTCTTGACAAAAAAAACACCATTCGAAAGGAACGACTAACTAAATTCTGAATAATTTTTTGGTATAAGATTCATTACTAAACATCTCGAGTTATTAATACTCAACGGTACTTGATAAAGAACACCGTTCGAAAGCAAACAACTAACTAAATAACGAATAACTTGGTAGTTATAACTACTAATGCATTGTAACTTACAAAATTTTCCAAATATAAGATAATAATTAAAAAAGTTCATAAAAATCTATTTTTCTCATGTATTTTTTTCCTAAATGGACCCACCTTGTACGAAATTTTGGATACGCCCCTAATAAGTAATATGACATGAGCATTGATACCATGATATGGATTAGATTGACAGTCACTAACTCATTGTTACAAGTAAATTTATCCGTCTCATGTGTTATTTAGTGTCAGTGTATCGTTACGAAGTGAAGAAGGATGTTGGGATCTAGGTGAACTTCCTGTCATAGATATATGAACCGATCGAGTGTCTGGTCGTGTGAAGAAGAGCATTTTGTGCAATTTATGTACCATTAGTTACTTTTTTTTACAATAAAGAGTAATGGATAATTAAATCTTGCAGGCAATCATGGTCACAACTCACAAGGTTCAAACATAAGAGATGCTCTCTTTCAATATATTGTTGGTAGCCAAATCAATCCTTAAGTACCATTAATTAATTATATATGGATAATGCATCCATAATGAGATAATTACAGTATAGAAATCAATGATCAATAGTTTGATAATTCCATTATACATATGGTGTTGATTTCCAAATTCCTACCAAAAAGAATGTCACCTTCCCTGTACATTATTGTATGGTATTGGTATCCAAGTCTACCCCAACTCCCCAAGTCCCAAGTGAGTTACACAAAAGCATTGTAGTCGGCTTTGCCCACCTACACCATGATAAAAATGAAGAGACTTACTGATCCATATCAATCCAATGGACTCTAGACATCAATGGGCCAGTCAACCTATTTGGGCCTCGCTGGGGCTGGCCGGCTTTATTGAATCAAACCGAAACGTCAACCAATTCCTCCATTCGCACCACTGAGCTCGACCTCACCTGATTCTTCCCCGCCCTTTCAGACGACAGAACAGTTCAGTGCTCAGTAGTAGTCTAGCAGACTAGTAGTAGTAGCCAGCCCAGCAAGAAGCAAAGCAGCTGAAAAAAGCTCGCAGAAATCAGATTCCTTTCTTACCGGTTCAGTTTCAAGCTTCCAATCCACCAGGGCTTTTCGAATTCAATTCATTTCCATCGAAAGTTCAAGTCTTTTCAGTTTTAACCCTCCACCGATTCAATCGGAACGAAGAAGAAGAAGAAGAAGAATGAGGCAGAAAAGCGACCAGCTTCGGTCGTCCAAGCTAATCACTTACCTTCTCCTGATCGTCATCCTCTTTCTCGGCCTACTCTGTTTATACTACGGCTCTTCCTTCGCGCCCGGATCGGACCCAGAATTCCTCCGCCGCGACGGCTCTGACCCGGTCCTCGGTTCACTGCCCGGTCCCCAGCACTTCGACGATGACTCCCTCCAGAATCTGGAACTACCCAGAACCATTCCGGTAAGTTCAGTTCCGTTTTTTCTCGAATTGGGGGATTTGGATGTCGTTTGATGTTGGAGAGTGTTGGCGTGTTTGATTGTAGATCTGTGATATGAAGTACTCCGAGCTGATACCTTGCTTGGATAGAGAGCTAATTTACCAGATGAGGTTGAAGCTGAACTTGTCGTTGATGGAGCACTACGAGCGGCACTGTCCGCCGCCGCAGCGGCGGCTCAATTGTCTGATTCCGCCGCCGGCTGGTTATAAGGTTAGGCAGGATAAACTGGAGTGTTTGTGTTTCGGAGAGTTGGTTTGGTTTTAGTTGTCGTGATGAAATGCTGGCATTTAGAGTTTCAGATTCCGATAAGGTGGCCGGAGAGTAGAGATGAAGTGTGGAAGGCTAATATCCCACATACCCACTTGGCGAGCGAAAAGTCTGATCAGAATTGGATGGTTGTTAAGGGGGATAAGATCAATTTCCCTGGTGGAGGAACCCATTTCCATTATGGTGCTGACAAGTACATTGTCTCTCTCGCTAGGGTAATTATGATTGATTGTGGCCAGAAAGTTTTCTTCTTTCCACCCTCTCTTTCTTTGACTTGTTCTGTCTTATTTGTTTGATGCGAAAGTTTGAACCTTTATCCTCGTTCCTTCAATGCAAAGCCACAAATTCGACCCCACAGACACAACAAGTTACTGTCGTTTTGTTACAATCTCTTCATTCAAGATCATATGACAAGCTACCCTATTCATGTAGATGCTTAAGTTTCCAAACGACAAGCTTCACAATGGTGGGAACCTCAGGAATGTCCTCGACGTGGGCTGTGGAGTGGCAAGCTTCGGTGCCTATCTTCTTCAGCACAGCACCATAGCCATGTCCCTGGCACCAAATGATGTTCACGAGAACCAGATACAGTTTGCATTGGAGAGAGGGATTCCATCGACCCTTGGTGTCTTGGGGACCAAGAGGCTTCCGTATCCGAGCAGATCGTTCGATTTGGCTCATTGTTCAAGGTGCAGGATCGATTGGCTGCAGAGGGATGGAATCCTGCTGTTGGAGCTTGATAGGGTGTTGAGACCAGGAGGCTATTTCGCTTATTCGTCCCCTGAGGCGTATGCTAAGGATCCGGAGAACCTAAGGATAGGGAATGCTATGCATGATCTTCTGAAAAGAATGTGCTGGAGGGTTGCTTCCAAGAAAGACCAAACCGTGATCTGGCAGAAACCCACGAGCAATGGTTGTTACTTGAAGAGAGAGCCTGGTACTCAACCGCCTTTGTGTAGCACTGAAGATGATGCAGATGGTGTGTGGAATGTGCAGATGAAGGCCTGCATTTCTCAATACTCTGCACGTAAGTACCCGAAAGTTGAACTTAACTGAATCATGTCCTTCAATTGCATTGAAATCAAGTTCAGTGCCTAATTTGACTCATACCACACAAGTTCAGTGACCAAACTTGGTTTGTTAATTCCAAGAGCATTCACTAGCCTTTTGCTGAAGTTATCAATTCATTTTTTTGTTTTTTCTTTTAGAGATGCACAGGGAGAAAGGGGCTGGATTGGTACCATGGCCGCAGAGGCTAATCACACCGCCTCCACGTTTGGAAGACATTGGTGTTAGTCCCGAAGAGTTCCATGAAGACACTGTAAGGCTTCCTGACTCGTTGCTTAATTTGTCTAACCACCTTCTCGATATTTTTTATGTTGATAGCTAGCTTACTTCTTTCCATTTTATTTTTGCAGCGTATATGGAAATTTAGGGTGAATGAGTACTGGAAGCAGATGAAATCCGTTGTGAGGAAGAGCTACTTCAGGAATGTCATGGATATGAATGCAAATCTCGGAGGTTTTGCTGCCGCTCTTAAAGATACCGATGTCTGGGTGATGAATGTTGCTCCAGTCACCATCTCAGCCCGGCTTAAGATCATCTATGATCGTGGCTTGATTGGAACGGTTCATGACTGGTAGCTCATTCATCCTTCCTCTCACTCTTTTAGCATCAATGATTCCCAGGGTCAATACTCAGTAGTATTTATAATACCTGTTTTTGGGGGATATCATTGTATAGCGATAAATATGTTATCAACCTTGATTCTAGCTTTACATTTAATGATCCTGATGGAAACTTGTGGCCTCTGTCTTCACTCAGGTGTGAATCATTCTCTACATATCCGAGAACATACGATCTCCTCCATGCCTGGGCAGTATTCTCGGAGCTCGAGGAGCGAGGCTGCAGTACCGAAGACCTGCTCGTGGAAATGGATAGGATCCTGAGGCCCGAAGCATTCGTCATCATACGAGACAAACCATCGATCATTAGCTATATCCAGAAGTCATTACCGGCCTTGAAGTGGGATCGGTGGGTGTCGGAAGTTGAACCGAGCACTGATGCTCTCTCGGTGAGTGAAGAGCGGGTCCTGATTGCCAGGAAGAAGCTATGGAGCGATTAGTAGAATGTACCTACAATGTGAATACGGTATAACGTAATTACCATCTTCTCTGCGTTTCTTTCTTTTCACTCTTCCTTTCATTCTTTCTGCAGCACTTCTTCAACAGCTATGCTTCCCTTTGTGTCCATATGACAGGTTTTGGGGAGCTGTTTATTAAAAGGGAAATGCAAATTTTACACTACTCAAGAACATAATTCTTTCCACAGAAGTTTGCTTAGATTTTTTGGCCCGAGTGAATGTGCTCCAATTCCATACACAGGAGACGTGGAAGGGAAACCAGATTGCTAAGGTTCCATAAGAGAAGCATGATTATGGTTAATGATTCGTTCTTATGTATATGTATCTGAACTGAGATACAGTGCTGAACTTCTGCTGGCCAAACTCAATTTAAAGTTTTTACCTTTTTGCCTGCAAAATGTGGGGAGGGAGAGGGGAAGGAAGCCATGTAGTGAAATTTTACAATCTGTTGAAGCTTTCATGACATCCCTTCATTGATTGATATGCAAGCTTAAATGATTCTTTCATGTAGTCTAATTACGGGTGACCTTATTGCATGGTTCAAAGACAGTAACTTTACATCATGAGCCCCAATTCTTTGTGTAGTCCGGTACATTTTGCTTTGTTTCCCTCCAACAACCAAAACCTCCACATTGATTATGAGACTCTTTTCTTGTTCGAATTTCTCTATAGGAGACTCTTTCTTGTTTTACTAATGGTTTGGACGTTGGAGGGTTTGCAAGATCAAGAGCCCTACGCAATTTGTTTAGCATCACAAACTAAACCATTTCGTTTAAGAAAATATGAGTAATTGGCAAAAACAAATACAAGTTTGCGTGACACAAAATTATTACAAAGTCATTAAAAATTAAAGAGAAAATTTACCGTCACAAAAACATTAAAAACTAACAAAAAAATTCATATATAATATATGTATATATAGAAAAACAAAATGGTGCTTCCGTCCACAGCTTTAAAAGCTGACTATAATAGTTTTTTCGTACGACACATCAACAACCCAATTGATTCGTAGACGGAATTACGAAATTAAACGTAAATGCCGTTTTTCATTTTGATATAAGTTTTTAAAATTTTGTGACTGTTCTGTTAAAGAGGCGAAACTTATATGACCATTCTTGGGACCGTTTTGTTAGCATAGGATCATTATCAACATTTTCTGAAATTGGATAAAAATAAGTGAACATTCCAATGCTCTGTTTCAGCTGCCGAACTTAGATTAGAAAAGAAAAAGGAGAACTCATTTTTGCACACACACGGATGAATATTTTACACACATCTTCTCTTTCTATTGCCTCTCTGCCATATCCTTTGCACGAAAATGGCCGTCGCCGCTCTCAGCTGTCTCCCGCCCTAGAAAGCTTGCAATCACTGCCCACTGACTGTTGGGTTCAAAAAGTTCAACCCTTTTTCACTCCTTTACCCCCGTTTCGTCCCGATTGTTAATCGAACTCAGCTCTACCAACAGCGACAATGGCGTCCACGCCGCCGCTCTCAATCAACGCCCAGAAGCCTTATCACAACAACCCGCTAACACAAAACAACTTCCAGACCAGCAGCCACCGTCAGCACCAGCATCACCACCACCACAACCACCACCCGCAGCAGTACCGCCAGGTACCCAATCAGAAATTCTGGGTCCCGGGCACGCGCAGCGCCGCCGCCGCCGCTTCTTCCTCCGCTGCTACAGCTCCCGCCTTTCCTTCCCTAGCTCCCCTTAAGTCACCCGATTCCAACCTCGCCGCCAACTTTTCGGGTCGCAGCTCGACCCGGGTTGTCTCCAAGTTCCACCTGGGTCGACCTAAGTCAACGGCGGGCTCCCGCCACACTCCAATCTCCGAGGAGGCTCTCCGCCAGGTGATGAGTTCAGGAAAAGACGAATTAACCCTCGAGAACGTTCTCCTCGCGTTTGAGTCTCGCCTCTGCAGCTCCGACGACTACATTTACATGCTCCGTGAGCTCGGCAACAATGGCGATTGGGGAAGAGCCCTCTGCTGCTTCGAGTTTGCCATCAAGAGGGAGAAGAGAAAGCTGGAGAAGGGGAAGTTAGCCAGCTCCATGATCAGCACACTCGGAAGATTGGGCAAAGTGGAGCTGGCAAAGAGCGTCTTTGAGACAGCTTTCAATGAAGGGTATGGCAACAATGTGTACACTTTCTCTGCTTTGATTAGTGCTTATGGGAAGAGTGGCTACTGTAATGAAGCTATGCAGGTCTTGGAATCGATGAAGTACTATGGCCTTAAGCCGAATTTGGTCACTTACAATGCTGTGATTGATGCTTGTGGCAAGGGGGGAGTTGAGTATAGCAAACTAGTAGAGATTTTCAACCTCATGTTGAAGGATGAAGTGGAGCCTGATCGAATTACCTACAACACTCTGCTTGCTGTATGTAGTAGAGGAGGTTTATGGGATGCTGCCAGAAGTTTGTTCAGTGAAATGGAAGGTCGAGGGATCCAACGGGATTTGCATACTTATAATACCCTTCTAGATGCTGCTTGTAAAGCTGGGCAATTAGACATAGCATCGAAGATTATGTCCGAGATGCCTGGAGAGAAGATGTTTCCAAATGTGGTTACTTATAGCATTATGATTGATGGTTATGCTAAAGCTGGTAGATTGAATGATGCCCTGTTGTTGTTTAATGAAATGAAGGTTAAGGGGATTGAGTTGGATAGAGTTTTGTATAACACATTGCTCTCGGTTTATGCTAACCTTGGTAAACTTGAGGAGGCTCTGGACGTCTACAAGGAGATGCAAGCTTTTGGATTTGGAAGAGATGTTGTTACTTATAATGCACTCATAGCTACATTTGGGAAGAAGTGCAAGTACCATGAAGTGAGAAGAGTGTTTGAAGACATGAAACTACGGCGTGTGTCTCCAAACTTGGTAACCTATTCGACTTTGATCGATGTGTATTCCAAAGGTGGGTTTTATAATGAAGCCATGGAAGCGTTTAGAGAGTTGAAGCTAGCAGGATTCGAGGCTGATGTTGTTCTCTACAGTGCACTTATCAATGTGTTGTGTGTTGGTGGATTCGTTGAAACTGCTGTTTCTTTGCTTGATGAGATGACAAAGGCTGGTACTAGACCTAATGTCGTAACTTACAACTCGATCATCAATGGTTTTGGTCTGTCATTTGATTCGGAATCTGTGGTGGTTAATGATGCTGAGAAGGGCGATGAAATGTTGCAAGTTGGTCCTTTAAGGACAATTATTGCCCAGGAGGCTGCTGGCTTAGATGAGCTGATGGAGAAAGGTGATAACAAGATCATGAAGATATTTGGGCAGCTTGCCGCGGAGAAGGATGGGTTATCAAAGAATGGCGAAAGGAAGGAACTTTTGTGCATATTGGGGCTCTTCCAAAAGATGCATGAGCTGCGAATCAAACCAAATGTTGTCACATTTTCAGCCATTCTAAATGCTTGCAGGTAACCTACGCTATTTCTTGGCGTTATTGCTTAGTTACATAAGCTCTTGAACTGATGGAGAAAACCCAGCGTAGCATATTCGATTGTGTAAGTTTACCTTTTGTTCTGATGCAGTCGTTGTAATTCCTTTCAAGATGCCTCGGTGTTACTCGAGGAGCTACGCTCATTCGATAACCAAATCTACGGTGTAGCTCATGGACTCCTGATGGGTTACAGAGGAAATGCTTGGCTGCAGGCATGCTCACTCTTTGACGAAATGAAGTCTTTGGACGCTCCCACTGCATCTGCCTTCTACAACGCGCTAACAGATGTTCTGTGGCATTTTGGGCAGGTCAGTTGTCACTCCCTTATATACTATATCTTAGCACGAGAGCCTGCTGCTAATCAAGATATTCTTGCCAATTCATATTAACAGAAACGTGGGGCCCAGCTAGTTGTGGTCGAAGGAAAACGTCGGCAGGTATGGGAGACCGTGTGGTCAGACTCTTGCTTAGATCTGCATCTGATGTCTTCTGGCGCTGCTCTAGCCATGGTTCACACATGGCTGCTTGATATCCGATCCATTGTGTTTGAAGGCCGAGAACTGCCCAAATGGTTGAAGTATGCATCCTACCATTAGCTCTGGTCAATTACGCAAATAATCATTGAACTACTCTGATTTTTATCAAACTTGTAGATCATGTTGTTAGTGTCATAAACCAGTTGGTGCCAATAACTCGAATTGTTGAGAGAAGGTTATGTTGGATCTTATACCACTGTCTAACAGTTAGTAGGCTAAAAATTTGCTGCCCTAAAGGATACACTGTTTCAAGCAGCTGCTTATATACTCATGTTACTTTTTGTTGTTGGTTTCTTGCAGCATCCTGACTGGATGGGGCAAGCATAGTAAAGTGGTAGGAAACAGTGCCCTAAAGAGAAATGTGGAAGCTCTGCTTACCGGAATGGGAGCCCCATTCCAACAGGCGAAATGCAACCTAGGTCGGTTCATATCATCAGGAGCTCTCGTCACTGCATGGCTGAGAGAACCCGGCACCCTAAGCGTGCTCGTTCTTCACGATGCCAGAACACCAGACGTCGCAGACAATGATGTTTCGAGATCCGGTGCTGAAATGCAGATGATTGCTTTGTAGTGGTGGTAGTAGTAGCTGTTTCATTGTTGTACCATCATCATCACCCTATTTATTTTGGTCTTAGGTCCCGTTCCATAAAATTCTGCTCAAACCATTAGTAGGTTGGAGAAGGGACTTAAGCTACATGTAGAGGTTTTGTCCATGTAAGACATTCTGCTCAATCGATAAGAAGTTTTTCAGAGACAGAGAACTGTCTTTTGTTTGAATCCCCTTTAGGTGGGGGGATCTTCTGTATGTAATTTGGAATATACAGTGTTTGTAATATTTGCAGTCCAGTCCATAAAGGTTCTTTCTTTTGCTTCAGCTTTACCTATTTACCATATGTTGAAACTTGAAAGTTGAAACAAACCTGCTAATGAAGAACACCGAATATGACGTGAAAAATGAAAAGAAAAAAAAGTTGAAATGACGTAACACAAAAAATATTCATATTTTTCAAAACCAAACTCAAATGCGATAGATTGTCGAGCCAAACAGGTTGACAAGATCTTAAAAATGAAGAAACAAACAATTGCTAAAATATCGAAACAAGAAAATTAGCAAAAGAACATCCGACTTGCCGGATTCGAACCAGCGACCTAAGGATATACTGATGGCTTTGCCCACTACAGTCCTCCGCTCTACCAACTGAGCTAAAGTCGGATACTGATTATTAGATTACCAATTTTAGTACTAATCAATATTCAGAGAAGAGGGAACTGTGTTTGTGACACTTGTGATCCAGGTTTCCCGCGTCTCTCGGTCAGCAGTTCCGGAGTTCATCTGAAAATATGGAAAGGAAACAACAGAGACTGGACTGATATGGAAGCAGAATGAAAAACCTGAAACCGATTAATAAGAAAGAAAATAATTGAAAATCCATTCTTCTCACCGAATCTCCATTCCTGCAAACCAACAGATATCTTCCGTTTCACCATGGAGAAGAAGAACATTAACGCCTCCAAGACCCCGACTGCGGCGGCAGCGACAGCAGCAGTATCCACGGCAATGCCGGCTACAAAAGATCCTCCCTTCTCCGTAAAATCAAATAGTAGATCTCCTTCGCAGACTTCGCCGGCAAAGCACCTGCCCAAGCAGCCATTCATGATCGGCAATTAAACCCCCTCTCTCAATCGCTGGTTTCTCATTTTCCCGATCTGGGATTTTGGCTGAAATCTCTCTCTGCGTGTTTTCAGGTGTCGCCGGCGGGACTGCTTCCGGCAAAACGACTGTCTGTAATCTGATCATCTCCCAGCTTCACGATCAACGCGTCGTACTCGTTAATCAAGTGAGAATAGAATGATCTCTTTTCTTTCAGGAATGTTGTTTGAGATTCTGGATCGTAAGAATCAATGGACTTTCTCTTCTTTGTAACTCTGTTTCCCCCCCCCCCCCCTGTGAAAGGATTCATTTTACCGGTCCCTTACACCTGAGCAACTGAACAACGTCAAAGAATACAACTTTGATCACCCCGGTAGCTTTTCCTTTCCTGGGCTAGCCTTACATTTTTCTGGGTTCCCGTTCAATGCTGAAATCATTTAGTGCTGGGTTGTTTTCTATTCGTTTGTTGCAGATGCTTTCAACACAGAGCTTCTGCTGTCGTGCATGGAGACACTGAAGCGTGGTGAAGCCGTCACCACGCCGAACTACGATTTCAAGACCCATCAAAGCGTGGGACCTGGGAGCAAGGTGAATTGATGTGAAATCGGTGGTGGTTTCCTTTTGGTTGGTGCAGTCAACTTGCTTGTGTTGATGTCTCAACTAAGTTTTCGGGGGGGATTGAGCTGTTGCAGGTGAACCCTGCAGACATAGTGATTCTTGAAGGGATCCTAGTTCTTCACGATGAACGGGTGCGTGATCTTCTGAACATGAAGATTTTCGTCGACACAGGTTGTGTTCTATTCCCCTCATCTACTAGATTGATCAGGAAATCAGATTGTACAACTTTTCTAGTCCTTGTGATTCACATAACCATTCAAGACGTTCTCGAATTGTTTCACCAGTGCAGATTCTGACCTACGGCTTGCCAGGAGGATTAAAAGGGATACAGTTGAGAGAGGGAGGGATGTTCAGAATGTGCTTGATCAAGTTAAGTTCCATAACCTCCCTTGACCTAGTTCAAAATGTAGCTATGTCTTGGACTGGGGTTGTGTTTAGATTATCCTTATTACCTTACTAATGTGGCATAACTTTAAAATTAGATGACATCGAGCTGAAAAACCAGACATTTGAATCGCGTTGATGTGCAGTCAAACCTGCACCAAGTGTTTTGATCTGCAAATATGGCCAGTTAACCAATTTGCCAACCTGTGATGTTGCAGTATGCTAAGTTTGTGAAGCCTAGCTTCGACGAATTCATACTCCCCTCAAAGAAGTATGCAGACATTATCATTCCACGAGGAGGAGACAACGAAGTTGCCATCGATTTGATTGTACAGCACATTCATACGAAGCTTGGACAGCATGATTTGTGCAAGATATATCCAAATCTTTTTGTTTTCTTCTCCACATTTCAGGTATTCATCAAATGCTTTCCTTTTGGATTAGAAACTAAGCCTTTCATTCTTTGCTGGCTGATCATATCCTTGGAAGTTTGATTCCAGATTGGCGGCATGCACACGCTGATAAGGGATATGCAGACTACAAACCATGATTTCGTGTTCTATGCAGACCGGTTGATTCGTTTGGTGGGTAAAAGCATCCCACTTGAAGCTGAATTGCTGACTGGGACAAGAGAGTTACTGCATTGTTACTTTCTTTTCAGTTACGGTGTGAATAGTTTGAAAGTTGATGTTTGCAGGTGGTAGAGTATGGTCTTGGGCACCTGCCATTTACAGAGAAACAGATCATTACTCCAACAGGTAAAAGACAGAACCCTTGCCATTTTCTATTTGCTCTCTCCCCCAAGCTTGAGCACCAAGAAACACTGCCAGAAACTCAGTTTTCTATCCATCTCTATAGTTTTGTTCCATTTGTTCGAACTATTACATGTTTTAGTAGCTAAAAATTAGTGAGGATTTTAAGAATTTCCTCTGCGCAGGATCCATATACCCAGGAGTTGTCTTCTGCAAGAGATTGTGTGGCGTCTCAGTCATCAGGAGGTATGCAAGTAACTTTCTCCGCATTGAAATGTCAAATGGTATCAAACCAATAACCAGCATCATTCATTATGATACGAATAAGCAGCGGGGAGAGCATGGAGAATGCGCTGAGAGCATGTTGCAAAGGAATCAAAATCGGCAAGATCCTCATCCATGGAGAGCGTAACGATGGAAGGCAGCTGATATACGAGAAGCTACCTTCGGACATCTCTAGCCGCCATGTCTTATTGCTCGACCCAGTTCTTGCTTCAGGTTCGTCACAAAAGCCTTCCCTGGTACTGATTAGTTTCCCAGGAACGAGAAAATGTGTTTTAGTTTTGACAAAGAACCATGTTTTTCAATGTGGTGAAAAACAGGGAACTCTGCAGTGGAAGCTGTGTCTTTGCTTCTCAGTAAAGGGGTTCCAGAATCCAACATCATTTTCCTCAACCTCATAGCAGTAAGTGCCCCCAATCTCTTTCCATGTTCGTTTTGGTTCTTGCTCTATCCTCGCAAATCGTGTATGCTGATCTACCACAAGTGCAGGCACCACAAGGAATACATGTCATCTGCAAGAAGTTCCCCAAGCTCAAAGTTATAACGTCAGAGATCGATGAAACGTTGGATGATGATTTACGTGTGATTCCAGGCATGGGAGAGTTCGCAGACCGTTATTTTGGCACAGATTGATCCTTCAACTAGAACTTCCAACAACTAATAATAATGTCTCTCATTCTTTGATCAAAGTCGATAGTGCTCTCCCTATATATCCCCATTCTTTCATCTCTATTCATGTAACGGAACCATACTGGAAGAGAAATTTTGACAACAGCTGTTCTTTCTTTAGTTGTTTCCTCTAAGAAAAATGTTCATAGACCTCTCAAAGGAGTTGTACCCTATTTGAGTCAAGTAGAATCATGAAGAAGACAGTTGCAGGTTAGGTGCTAGAAAAGGATTAAAAAATTCAATGCCCAAAACTGAATGCTTATCAGAAACTTGTGGTAACGAATCTTCACCAGTTAGCTCCTAGAAGAGCAAGGTACAAGCTGAAAGAAAGGAGGTAACAAGGGGAGGAACTCAAAACTTGCTAGAGCTACAATAAGTCAACAACCATTTTCCCTATTCATCTTGGATTGCGAAATTGAATAGCATATAGGAGTGTCGCAACTACAAACCGAGCAAATAAGTTGAATTTTCGCTCATCATCAGCTTTGACCGGAAAGACTAGGCTTTTGAGTTCTTTTTACTCTTCTTCTTTCTGGGTGCATTGCTGCTGGGTCCAATTTCTATGGCCATTCTCTTTGTTCTGCAGAGGGAACATAGCACAATTACTTCAGAACTCCTCAAAAGTCAAAACTAAGCTATCAAGAACAGCAAATCAGTAGTGCAAACTGAAATACAGGGGAGAAATTGAGGTTGGATATACGAACACACCGGCAAGATAGGTCATCGGACTCCTTGCTTACATCTTCAACTGCATCATTAGAAACAAGAATTGCAAAGACATGAGCTCAAAGAAAGCATAGAGTTTTCCCACTCTGAATGAAAAACACCTTAAATCTGAGCCTATTCCAAATTGTTCCTCCATAGAAGAAGATATCAAGCAAGATGTCAAGCTCAGCGCTTTTTCTGTAACATACCTGCTTCCATTCCTTCCCCGTCCTCATCCAACTCAGCCTCTTCGTCAGAGCCCCACCGATCATCTCCATCGTCGAAATCCCACCGTGCTCCCTTAGGTGGCATCCAGAACTCAGCTTCTTCTACCTCAGAATCATCACTCTCCCCATCAGCTGGAACATCCCTGATTTCAGTCACGATTTCTTCAACAGTCTTTGCCTTCTTGTCCTTCTTTTTCTTTTTCTTCTTCCTCTTCTTCTTATTCTCCTTATCATCACCATTCCCATCCCCATCCCCATGTTCCTTCTTCTCTTCACCTTCAGCTGATTTCCCATTTGGAACCAATTTCCCCATTTCCTTTAGTTCTGCTCCCACCGAAAAGAAAACCACACTCAATATCACAATTTCTCCCCACTTCCAACAGTTAAACAAGGAAAAACAGAAGAACACAAAAACAAACGAACCTAATTTGTTGAGGAACCGCCTGCCATTGATGTGCTTCCAGATATGCTCCTCGGTCTTATTCACTGTATCCCCAGTCAACTTACAGACCAATTTCGACCTTCAAAAGAAGAATTCACAGCAATCCTCTGTAAAATGTAAATACTTTACGGGAAAAACTAAGAACCCTAATAAAAAAAATTAACAAACGGAGAAGCTGGTGAGTTATTTTGCCATTTCTAGTGATACCTGTTGAGAGGGTCCTGCTTGAACATGTTGAGAGGAGCCTTGCGGGTGGACAGAGCATGGTTGACGAGACCCAGCCGGCACCGTTTGCTCTGCGAATACGATTCCTTGTCCTTGGAGAGGACCTCGTGGCCTGTCTCGACGCACTTGAACCTTCCGTTCTCGAGCTCGGTGAAGGAAGGCGGACCGAGCAAATTCTCCCCTTCTTTCGCCGTCGTCGACGTCTCTTCTTCCGCCATTTCTTCCGACGGCTTCAAGCTAACTCCCGTTACTACGGCTGCCGCCAGCGTTGTACCGATTGTCCTATGTCATAACTCATAAGGGCCCTAGGAGTGAGTGGGAAAGCAAAAGCCCAAAAACTCATAAGCCCACAAAGATTTGGGCTTTTCATTACCCGGCAACTCTAAGGTGAGAATTCCGAGTGTTCTCTCTTCTTTCCCAGTTGCCGTCCGGCGAACTAATCCACCGCCATGGCTCAACGTCTGAATTTCTCCTCTTCCATTTCCACCTCGCATCTTTCGTCTATTCTTCCCTCTCAGAATTCCGTCGCTGCTGCTTCTTCGAAACCAAATTGGAAGCCCCTCACTTCCCACTTCCTCCCTCATCCTATCCCTCTCATCCGTCTCTGCTTACGCTCCACCAACTACTCCGTCTGGCGTCTGGCTGTGACGGCTCTCTCTGCCGATGCTTCGGGAAAGAAGCCGCTGCTCGAAGTCAAAATTTTCAAGGCTGTGATCGCTGAAACAGGACAGGAAATTCTAAAGGGCGTCAACCTAGTCGTGAATGAAGGGGAGGTATATTGACTGATAGTGTTGGATAGTTCTATCAATTTCTGGAGTTTGGTGGTCAACTTAAACAATTTTCATATTTTCCGGCGAGGGATAGGTCCATGCTATAATGAGCAAAAATGGTTCCGGGAAAAGCACATTCTCAAAGGTTCGTATATGATCTCACTTACTCGATACCGTTCGCTGATGATTTATCAATGTGGGCTGCCATGCTGCTTTAGATGGCACCAGTAGTGGTGGGAATGTTATTGGAACAAGAATGATATTGTTGTTATGTCGCCTGGAAGCTGTTCTTTTGATGCCCATGTTCTTGAGATCATTTCTTGGTTGGTTTGATTAGATTTGTGTGTGGAGTTCTGATCATGAATCATAATACACATGCTCAGGTTTTCGTTGGCCATCCACATTATGAAGTTAGGTGGCAGCGTGATCTTTAAAGGAGAGAACTTGCTTGACATGGAACCGGAGGATAGGTCCCTTTCAGGGCTTTTGAGCTTTGAGTCCCCAGTTGAAATCCCTGGTGTCAGCAATATTGACTTCCTAAACATGGCTTACAATGCTCGAAGAAGAAAACTTGGTATCCCTGAGCTTGGTCCAATTGAGGTATCATTCCCTTTCCAAATGCTTTCCGCGAACTGTCTTTCGTTTGACGTTTTGTCGTATGTCGTTGCCTTTGAGAACATGTAAGTTGGATTAATCTCGATAGAGGTGACAAACAAGTAATCCAGTTCATTGACGAATTATATTTCCACTTTCTATGACATGGATCCTGTAAATCTTCACAGCCCCATTAGTTTCGTTCTGCCTGATATGTTTGTACGAAAGCGAAGTAATCTTGAGATATACTTATTAGTTTGCTCAACTAACTTCTGTTGACCTATCTTTTTTTAATTTTTTATTGCAGTTCTATGCGTACCTGTTTCCCAAGCTTGAGCTTATGAACATGACGAGTGATTTTCGAAACAGAAATGTTAGTGAAGGGTTCAGTGGTGGTGAAAGGAAGCGGAACGAGATTTTACAGCTTGAGGTAATGTTTCGTATCTGAATCTGTGTTCTGCTGAACTAAGTTCTATGTGATGGAGTTCTTTCATAAAAGTTTACATGGTTAAGCTTCCTTTTTAACCTAACGAATCAAATTGTTATATACTTCATTCAGACATTTTTTGGGTTGTTGCATACTCTATATTTGGCATCAGAAAGCACTTTTATGCAAGGTGCACTCAGGGTACTGTGTGCATGGATAAATGTAGGATAGGATATTTGTGGATTGGGACTGTATGTGATGTTCGTTTACATCATTGTAGAACTAACGAGAGGCCCCTTTCTGAGGAAACTTGGTAATTTCATGATTCAACAATTCGCTAGCAGCACAATCCCCTGATGAATGTCATTCTTCTTTGTCTAGTATGCCAATGCCTTCCTGCATATCTCAGGTTCTGGAAGCAGATTTGTCTGTATTAGATGAGATTGATTCTGGTCTAGATGCCGATGCTCTCCAAGATGTTGCAAAAGCAGTTAATGGACTCTTGACGCCTAAGAAGTCTGTTTTGATGGTTACACATTATCGACGGCTGTTGGAATTCATCCAGCCTTCCTATGGTTACACATTATCTCGTTAACATAATTTTGTTAAAATGACCGTCTTTCTTACAGCATCACCTGCATCCTATGGATTAGTTTCTTCCTCATGTTGATGTCTTCTATGCTTCTGTTAACTTTGTGAATCATCTTAATGTTAGCTAATGTGTGCTTGGTACGTATTCGTAGGAGGATGGAAGAATCATAAAGACTGGGGATACTAACATTGTAAGTGTTCTCGAGAAGGAAGGTTATAAAGCAATGTCTACCGCCTGAACAGTCAACGTATCGGGGAATAACGGTAATGCTAAGTGTATGGCATCTCCCATCTCTGTACTTGTTCTTGGGGATTCGGAACTTCACTGTTCATCAGTGTGTTTTATGTTCCTGGTGAAGATTGCTGTAAGTTTGCGATTATCTGGGAGCTCCATTCCGATCTTAGGTAACGTTTTGTAGTGTATACACACATATTTCTAGTACTTTGCCTAATATAGAATATAATGCAGCTTTTCTTTGTTTTCTTTCATCTGCTAGTTCGGCTGGTTCTTTTTGTCGGGACCAACAATGAGCCCACAATTGCGATCAATTCCTGCGTCTGTCGAAGTCTTCTTCTCTTTGCAAAAAGACAAAAGGATCAGAGGAGAGAAAGAAAAGGGATAAAGAAGGCAATTCCAGAGACCCGAAACATTTGAATAGGTTTTGCCAATTCACACTCAAGTGGAAAAATGACTATGCCGATCGTGTAACACGAGGAAGAAAATGGATATGTCACTCTTTCGTATGGATTACTCGCATACAAGTAAATATTACACTGATTGACAGACAACAGGCCAGTTAGACTGCTACCAATGGGACACCAATTTGATCAGTTGACAACATCTGAGAAACCAATCTCATCTCTGGCCTAGCCTGCGGATTGGTGTTCAAACATGCTGCAGCGACCCTCAAGACGTTCTCCAAGTCTTGCTTGATTAGAGCTGAAGGAGGAGAGAGACGCTGGTCTAGCAGATCATCCAACGGCAATGCTATGTCTGTCAAAGAGGAGGAGGCGAACGATAGCACGGTTTCCCCAGGATGGTTCCCTTTGATCACTTCCAGTGCCAACACTCCGAAGCTATACACATCGCATTTCTCCGTCACCCTCATTGTATACGCCAGCTCTGCCACAAAAAAATGAGAGTTGAAGCTCATCTACAATACTACTGAAAACAAAAGCAAAAAAGGATGAGAAATTGGGTTTTAACTGAAGGTACCTGGAGCAAGATATCCACGGGTGCCAGCCTGTGCAGTCCAATGGGAGGTATCAGTGTTGAGAAGCTTTGCAGTCCCAAAATCCGAAACTCGGACTTCGTAATCGGTATCCAACAGCACGTTATTGCTGGTTATATCTCGATGAACGATGGGTATGGTGCAATCGTGGTGCAAGTAAGACAAGGCATGAGCCACTCCTCTCACAATGTTGACCCTCTTCCACCAATCCAACTCCGCGGCTTCCCCATCGTGGCTCAGAACTGAAGCTAAGCTCCCTCTCTCCAGGTACTCGTACACCAAGAAGGAGTGTCTAGAGTGAGAACAGAAACCATAGAGTTTCACAATGTTCCGGTGCCTTACCTCGGTCAACACTTTGATCTCGCTCAGGAACTCCCTCTGAAGCGCCCCATTGCTGTCGTGGAAACCGTGGAGCTTCTTCACTGCCACGTTGATTCCGGATGGCAGCCTGGCCTTGTACACCGTACCATAACCTCCCTTCCCAATGCAGTACCTGGAATCAAAGGTCTCGGTTGCTTTCACGATTTCAGAGTACATGATCTTCCCATCGAACCCAGGGGTGATCAAGATGTCCTCTTCCTGCTGCTGCTGTAGTGGTTGTGTTTCTGCCTCTCCCCTGCCATTCCGGTGAATGCAGAGCATTCCCAAAGCTAATAGCACAACAACCACGGCCAAGACAGGCAGGAAAATGACCAAGAACAAGAACATACGGCTCTTTTTTCTCGATGAACCGGTTCCTGGAGTAGAAGAAGGATTGCACCGCTGTAGACCCTCAATACTTCCACACAAGCCACTGTTGCCCTGTACATCTTCAATCGAAGCGTTTTGGAAGCTTCTACTGTTTGGAAGAGGACCCTGCAATCTGTTATAGGAAATGTCAACGGCGCGCAAGGGGATTTGTGCTAACCCATTTGGAATTGACCCAGAAAGGCTATTCCTTGACAGGTTCAGGAACTCCAAGCTTCCCAAGGAGCTCAGCCTCGATGGGATTGGGCCGGTGAGCGAGTTCCGGCTGAGATCGAGATTTGACAGATGAATCAGATTGCCCAGTTGATCTGGAATGCTTTCCCCGAACTGGTTGTTGCTGAGATTCAAGTAGTTCAGCTGAGAAAATTCGCCTATGCTAGCCGGAATTGACTGGTTGAACCTGTTAGAAGACAAATCGAGCAGCTCCAGCTCAGTAAATGATCTCAACTCTGGAGGGATAGGCCCTGAGAGTTGATTGCCGTAGAGTGCTAGCCTGACTAAAGAACTCAGCTTTCCAAGCTCTATGGGAAGTTGACCAACCAATTGATTGGAAGAAAGATTAAGCCCCTGCAGCCGAGAAACGTTACCAATCTCCGGCGGAATCTCACCCCTGATGTTGTTCTCAGAAATCAGAAGTGTAGCCAAATTGGGGCACGATCCCCAGTTGGATGATATCTCACCGTAGAAGTTATTCCGGCTGAGATCAATGTACTGCAAATCTGGGTAGACCCCGAAGTCATCAGAAATATTCCCGGTGAACTGATTATCTTCCAGACGAACCCGGACGAAGGTCGGGCAGGTCCTGAAGCTTCTAGGAACAGGGCCGGAGAAGTTGTTGGCATTGGCGGTGAAATTGATCAGCGATTGCTGACCTCCGCAGAGGTTCTCAGGTAGAACGCCGGAGAAATTGTTGCTGTCTAGCTGGAGAACCGTGAGCTTGGTGAGGTTCGCTATCTCCTTAGGGATTGAACCAGAGAGACGGTTCACACGAAGATACAAGATTTCCAATGTGCTCAAATTTCCAATTGAAGCAGGAACAGGGCCCGTGAGTCGATTCTCGCTCACCTCCAGATCTACAATGGACTCCAAGTTCCCCAGCTCCGGTGGAATCCCGCCGGAGAGCTGGTTCCCGTAGAGATGGAGCTGGACCAGGGATGTCAGCCGGCCAATCGACGGAGGAATTGGACCGGAGAGGTTGTTTGTATGGAGGCTGAGGAACTGGAGCGACCTGAGGTTCCCGATTTCGTCAGGAATTCGGCCGGAGAGTGAATTCATGAACATGTAGAGAGTAGTCAAGTTGGTCAATTTCCCGAAACTTGCCGGAATTGGACCGGATAACTGGTTGGTGTCGATGAAAAACTCGGTGAGTTCGGTCAAGTTACCGATTTCCGGGGGAATTGGACCGGAGATTGCATTGTCGTAGAGGTACAAGCGCTCCAATCTGGTCAAGTTCCCTATTGAAGAAGGAAGCGGGCCTTCGAGATAGTTGGTGTAGAGGGCGAGCTCGGTCAAGGACTCCAGCTGGCCGATCTCGTTGGGAATCGAGCCGTTCAGCTGGTTGTCAATGATGTGGAGGGTTTCCAGCTTTCTGAGGAGGCCGATTTCCGGCGGGATGACGCCGGAGAGCTGGTTGAGGGACACGTCGAAGTAGATGAGGTTGGCGAGCTGGCCGATTGCGGGCGGGATGATGCCGTAGAGCTGGTTTATACTCAGTTCGAAGTACGAGAGGCTGGGGAGCGATGAAAAGGGGAAATCTTCCAGCGTACCGTTTAGGCCGGAGTTGGTGAGGTTCAATCGGAGAACGCTCCCGGCGGCGGTGCAGGAGACTCCGACGAAGCGGCAGGGGGTGGCGGCGGCGCGGGTGGCGTTGACCGGCCAGGTGGAGATGTTGGATTGGCGGAGGTCGTTGAGGGTGGAAGCCCATCGGAGGAGAGCGGCGGCTTCGGAAGCGGAGTCGGAAGCTGCCGGGAGTGGTGAAGTGAGGAGAAGAAGGGAGTAGAGGATAAGAATAGGAAGAAGCTGAAGCGGCAGAGGTTGTTGGGTCCTCCTGTTGGAGGTTGTTTCATCAATTTCTTCAGCCATTTTTTGAGCTTTTGTTTTCTGGGAAACGTTGGTTTTTGGCTTTTGCTATGTTCATCTATTTTCCGGGAATGTGCTTCAAGCCGCGATGGATGGATGATTGCTTGCTGTTCGTGAAAGCAAATGTTGATTTGTCAACAGTCTACCATTTGACAAATGGGGTGTATTCCGATGGCGCGTCTTGGGCTCTTGGCTGAATGCTTTAGTTGACCTCGGAGTTTGTTCATACATGTTTGATCAGAAAGCACTAACGGAAGTTATGTGAAGGAGACTTCCACGATATGAGGTAATTTCAACACGATCGTATTGCCAAAAGATTTATCGATTAGTATTGAAATGATTTTCGTATCATATAGAAGCAGATGTTTATTTTAATGGAAATAAAGTTTTAAGTTCTTGACCATGGAGATTTGATTGGAAAAATTGAGTATGAAAATACATATCATGGGATGGTCTCCATGTGAGAACATCTTGATTTTGATTTTTTCCCCTAATATAAATATTTTTTATAGAATATAAAATGTTATACGCTAACAAAATCAACTAATATTCCTCTAATTCATAAACTAATATAGAATGAATTAAAAATTAACCTACTACATGTACTTTCTCCAAACCATGACAATACATTACATGCCATGCCTAGTGGTAGGTAGCGAAATCAAAATATGTCAGTCGTCATGCAATTTGAAGTCAATGATCCTTAAAACTTACTTGTACGTGGCAAGTCATTGTCCTCTATTCTAAGTTTATTCTAGATCTATAATGCCTTTAGAGATCGTTACGATGAAGCAATTCAGATATTTTTACAAAACTAGTCATTTATAAACCATGTAGTATTGCTTCTTGTGCTTTTGCTATCTTGTTTGTACATTATATATTTCTAGTTTATTTTTTTTTATAAAGATTCAACTTTTATTTTGAAGGGTTTCTAAATATTGCATACTTGTTAGAAAATATTTAGAAGTATCCATTAAAATTGTCTTCTTCTTTGTTAATGAAAAAAATGAAATAGAAAAGTGAGAAGGAGAGAAAAGGAGACATAAATAAAAAATAGAAATTTAAATGATTTTCATAATCACAAAAATACTCTCAATTTTACCTTTGGATCTATAAAACTTGATCTAACGGTTGGAAGAGACATAGTCACTTGATCAACGACCCTTCTTAATCATGAAATCCCCACCCAAACTTGTTGGATGCAGATCTTATGACCTTTGCACATCACCCTTTTTCCTTGTATTTGTTTCTCTAATTTTGTATGCACTCCGTTTCGGTTGATGCTATGTTTATAGCATCTATCCTCTTTTTTTTTTTTCCTAAAATTTTATCCTGGTTAATTAATAATACTGAATCACCATTATAAAAAAATGAATTGTAGAAAAATATTTTTTGGTGTATTTTAACTGTATTCATAGATTTTTACTAATGGGTATTTATTGAGAATCTATCAGAACATGTACACATTCAACACAAATGAGAGATATAAAGCGAGTCTGGATAAAATCCGAACTTGAATGCCGGAGACACAAGGCATGAATTAACTTATACTATTAGTCAACTCGCACTTGTATATGTATATGTGTATAATTATAGACTCATTTATTATTTAAAATTATAAATTATGTATTTGAGGAATATAGGCATTGCATACAATCACAACGTACCAATCTTTTGTTCTATGTAGGAATTCCATCTAGACAAAAGTTGAGGGTTCAAATTGATAAGTCCCGGTTAGTCCAATGACTAAATTAGATAATTAAAAGGAGAAGAGGGACTAAATTAGATAATTAAATAGAACCGCAAAACTGAAGCCACTAGCCTCTAGGTCTAGGCCATTCTAGCTTACTCTGCAGGCAAGCAACCGACTGACATCTCTTCGCTCAGCACACGCCGCGGCTTTTTGGTCACGAAACGAATCCTCTTTCTTTTAGATCGTCATTCTCCTCCTCCTGCCACCGCTCAATCTCGGAGCTAGCCGGCGATCGGAAATTAGAAGTTCCCATATTGACGACGATTTCTGTTCCGATTCAGATGGAGGGAAGAGGGAGAATGCTGCCGCTGCTGGCTCTTCACGCCGTCGCCGAGTACTACAGACTGCCATGGAAACCTCCCGTCACGGCGGGACTAATCGCCGCCAATACCCTCGTCTACCTGAAGCCCGCTTTCCTCCGCCACCTCCTCCCTTCCATCGAGGAGGTCTGGTTCAATCCCTTCCTCGTTCTCAAGGTAAACCCTCCTCCTTTGTTTTCCCTCAATTTGCGCATAATTCTTGCTCGCTACCTGTTTGATTGATTGCCCGGGAGATACTTGTTTCAGATAATCTCATGAATTGCTTGTGAGATTAGTTAAGGAAATAACTTGGCTGCTTACCGTTGAGTCCAAAACCTGAACATTTGGGGTTCTTCATTTTGCCCTGTTAAGTGAACAGAACAAGGATGCGAGGCGCTTCTTCCTATCACCATTCTACCACATCAACGAGTCCCACTTGGTCTACAACATGATTTCACTCCTATGGAAGGGGATCCAGCTGGAAACCTCAATGGGAAGTCTCGAATTCGCATCCATGGTCGCCGCACTCCTCACCATGTCCCAAGGGATCACGATGCTGCTGGCCAAGACCCTCGTCGTGTTTCTCGACTACCCCAAGCCGTTCTACTCCGAATATGCTGTCGGGTTCTCGGGAGTGCTGTTTGCGATGAAGGTTGTCCTCAATTCTCAGTCCGCAGACTATGCTCACGTGCACGGACTGGTGGTGCCATCTCGATATGCTGCTTGGGCTGAACTGATTCTCATCCAAATGTTTGCCCCTGGCGTCTCGTTCCTTGGCCACCTTGGTGGCATTCTGGCCGGGATGCTCTATCTCAAACTCAAGGGCGAGTACTCGGCCTCGGGCTCAGGTTCAGGTCCTTTGGTTAGAATGCTCCGGGGTATTGTTGGCATAGCGAGCTGGCCGCTGAGGGCTGCAAGGGGATTGTTTCAACCCAGGAGGACGCCACGTGTCTCCGGGAGGGGAACAGTCGGCAGGGAAATGAGGGACGGGCTGTCGGGTATATGGAGATGCCATGCTTGTACGTTTGATAATTCGGGTTGGTTAAGCGAGTGTGAGATGTGTGGAACAAGCCGTGGAGGCTTAACGGATGAGATTGGGATTCAAGAAATGCGTATGCGGAGGATTCAGAGATTTGGTTGATATAAAGGCTTGGTAACAGGTACGACATACTCCTTGTTCGATACAGATTTTGATGATGTTTCACAGTTGCATAAGGATGTAGGGTGCTGCAGGATGCTCAGTGTAATATGCTAAGTTGAGCCTTGAACAGAGTATACATCAAACAGATGGCCGATTTACTTATCCTTACAACTGTTTTATCTTTTATGGTTTGTATATTTGAATGCAAGAATAGCAAAAGCTGGATATGACGATATTGGAAATGCAGATATCTTCTGCAGACAAGTAGCCGTAGTTAGTTGATGGTTCAAATTCATCAGTTCAATTACTGTGTCTCCTTTGTGTTTCAGCACTAGAGTATGATGATGGCCTCTGGCCTCCGCGATACCTTAATGCGTTAAAACATCGTTAAGAATTAGTCCAATGAACATTGTACAATAGCATCCAAGTGAATACCGTTCTGATTTCCACCCCTAATTCTAATGCATGTTAGTTTCAGCTGCTGATCTCATTTAGGATTAGTGCCTGTAATGACTAATGAGTCAATCAGCATTCTCCAACGGGCTACAATATCACTATATCAGCAACTATATTACCATCTCCCTTTTTGTGAAACAACTTATTGACCGCCCTTAAAAGATGAACAACAAGAACAAGAATTAAATAATCAATCAATTAAACAAATCTAACATGATTAAGGAATGAATAAAGTGGATGCAAGATTTTTGGATTGTAAGGTTGCATGCACTAAAAATTTGTTTAAATGTGTGAGAAAAAGTTTTGAACGATATAACTTGACAATTAATTATTGCTCAATTTAAATACAATGTCGACTCTTTAGTAATTAAAGGTTGGATCTTGAGTTGCTGATAATTTAATTGTACATCTTCCCTACACACGATGTATTTTGGGTGTTGACTAGACAAAGCGGTCCGGTCCTAATAATTTCATTGTCATCAAGTTGACCTTTTTTGTGACCGGTCCTCTTTCTCTTCCAATGTATATAATACTTTAATGTTGTTTCTTCAAATGATTTCTCTTGCAAAAAATTCTTGAGTTTATGGTCAAGATTTTTAAATATACCGTCAAGTATATATACAATTGTATTTTCCCAAGCTTTTTGGGCTATAATTTGAGATGAACTTACTTCTTAATGAATTTGCCTACAGCATAAGGTTTCATGTTCTTTGAGATTATAGCTACTATCAAACTTCCAGCTTTTTGTCGAAGTAATTAAATAACGTCTTTCCAAACATGTCTTCTTGATACTTAACTTTGTTGGCGTCTTTTATATTTGCAAGGTTCTCATGTAAGAGACAAATTTTCAAATTTTTCTTTCTATATCTTATTTTTTTATGAACACAAGTTCAATATTTTTCATGTGATGAAGATGATAGTAAGCATGAGTTATAGCTCGGAAAGAATTGGGAATTGTCTATGAAACGCTACATGAACATTTATAAAGGTTTAAAACAGGTCATTCCTATTTGTTTATGAAGTCATAATGATGCTTACTGCTTAGGGTAAGTATTAAAATCAAGTTTGATCAGTTGCTTGCTGCTGTGGCAGCAACAGAACAAATTATACGAAACAGGGGAAGTTAGTTAGTTAGGTTTAGGGGGCTTCGCGGGTTGATTTAGTAATTATTTAACTTCGATATAAAACCCACAACCACAAAGTGGAACACTTGAATAAATCCTAGAAACAAGGCAGCTTCTTCCTCCGCCGCTCGCTCAAGCTCAATTCCTCTGGCTTTGACGGTTGCAGTCTGTAGCAGAAAAACTGCCATGGCGAAGAAGGAGGCGGGTGTGGAAGAGGATGACGTGGATTCTTTTTTAGCGAGTTTGGATCCTGAATGCGAATACTGCCCTCCCCAGCTGGTGCAGAAGCTGTTTGAGTCGAGGGCAATCGGTTGCATCACCGCACTTCTGGATCGCAAAGTCGCTCACAATCAGCTCGATCTCCGCCGTCGGCTAGCAAACGGCCAACGGCCGATGTGCTATGCTGCTAAGCTAGGGTTTCATCAGGGGTTACAGCTTTTTCTTCGCCATCGGATTCATCCCACGGATAATTTCTTGCCGGACGGTTCGGATTCCTATTCAAATATTCCTAAGGATGAATATGGGGGTGAAGTCATCGACTTGGCATTCGAGGCAAGTTGCGAGGAAAGGAAGAAGAAGCTGGGTGAAGAAATTACCCTCTCTCAGTTGATCCTCTGGCTGCCGGAATGGATCTCCGAGCCCGGCAATTTTGCCTGGTGGCACACCGTGAAGCTGCTGGGACGCACCTGTTCCATTAACATCGAGTCGAAAGCCTTCGAGTATGCAGTCAATGGCCAGGCGACACAGCTGCTCTGGCTTCTGCTTCTAGTCCCTGATCGAATTCTCTCCCCGACATTCTTTCGCGCCATACCAATGTTTAAAGATCGTTTGGAACTTTTCTCCCTCCGCGATTTCCTTACCGCTCAGCTAGCAGTCGTGACCGCTGACAGCCTCAGCATTCGACACCACGATCCCAGCCAAATGAGCAACAAGTCGTCGTCTTTGGAGTTGAAGAGGTTGATTCTTGCCACTTCCCTGCGATTACTTGAAGTCTTTCACAGGGCTGGCCCCCAGTTGTCTTACTTGGTGGCAACCTTAGAAAAGAAGCATCTTTCAAATATCCCAATTGCTCAACAGGTCAAGACTGTGTTAGAGGGAGCTGGGGTCCCCTTGACTTCTCTGGATTGGTACTTCTATCAACTTACCCCGCACCAGCTTCCACTTGGTTGTTTTATAAAGTTTCAATCTTTATGACATAATAATCTCTGTCTCTGTGTGTTTTTGTTGCCTTGACAGCCCTATTATAGCACATCCCTATCATTCAGAGATTAAAGACTATGCCAGGTAACTATCCCAGCCTTATAATTGTAGTAACAAAGAACTTTCTATTCCCAACACCACGAGTGACAGCAGCCTTGCATTCTGTTATACGATTCCTGTTAATCCCTTGCATTGTCTTGCTATCTCCCTCGCATTCAGTTGGGATTGAAGTTGTAGGTTTCTGTCTGTGTTAGATGTGAAAAGAACGAATCCTATGTTCAAAGTGTCTTTTCTTACTGTTTATGCATCTGACCTGTTCCAAAGTTAATTGCTGATTGGTATTACCGTGTAGTGCAAGCCATAAAGAAGCATATCTCGAATTGGTCTTCTTGATTCGACCGGTGCATGTTTGCAGAAGTGAAGTTCTTGGTTCACGATTCAGTAGGGCTATTGGGAAGTTGTGGTAATTCTATTCACTACTTGGTTTTGTTATGCCATTCTCACTTCTCAGTACAGGCAAAACTTACACGCTCCATTCTGGATTTAGTGCTTGAATACCATGCACAAATGTGTCTATGATTCACTGTTGTTTCTTGGCCTTCTGCAGCCATCATCCTTATCTGAAGGAATGGAGCCCCCAAAATTCTGTTTTCAAGTTGCTTTTCATATTTTGCCTCCCTGACTTGGTTTGAATTTTCCTCTTGAACTCGTGTCTCTCAATCCTTTTGTTCCACAATAGTTTTATGGGAAACATTTTTTGCTTTCTCATCTGTGATGTGCTATTCGTAACACCTACAGGTAGAAAAGATGCTGTTAGAAACCGAATTATCTAGGGTTTCTATATTTATTATTTTAATTATTATTAGGGTAAGTCTTATTATGGTTAGTAGTCTTTTAGTAGAATTAGGTTTAGTATTAGGGTTTCACATCTTTCGTTATAAATATGTACTCTGAGTCTACGTTACGATTAGTCAAGAAAGAATTATCAAATAATCTCCTAAACCCTAATCTCCCTATTTTCCCAATTCTCGATCTCAATCCCTCTAAAGGCCTAGGCCGATTCTCTTCTGTTCTTCCCCAATTCTTCCCCAATTCTTTCCCAAATCCCTAATTCTATCTTCTCAATCCCTAAATTCCCAAATATCACCCAATCCCAAATCCCGTTAGAAACTTTGTTTCTAACATCTGGTATCAGAGCCATGGTCGAAAATCTCTCAACCAGGGACAAGCTCTACAACCTGAAGGTCTATTGCGAGCAAGCAATGGAAGTCTTGGATAAAATCATACAAAAGGCCGAGAAGAGGGAGGAGGAGTGGCAGCTGTGGGCGGGGAAGTCTAAACGACTCCTAAACTCGCCACGGCGAATCAAGCCGCCAACCACCACCATTGCAGTGTCACCGCCACCACCAGCTACTGTCGAAGACGGAGATCCAGATGCTGAGATCAAGGATGAGCAGCCGCAAAACTTAGTTTTCGCGACGGGCGAACTGCCTCCGAAGGAGGAGGAGGAAGAGGAAGGGTCTGCTATGACCCCCGATTCCACCCCACAAGAATCGAGCACTATGGGAGCCGAGCTCCAGCTCGACGGCAACCGACGACACGAAAGGGTGATGACGGCGCGTCGTGATCTGGACACGGCGGAGCATCAACTCGCGCGCCGGACGCGGCGATGGGAGTCCGTTTCCGTGGTGTCGTCGATCGGCGAGGAGACGACCTTGAAGACAAGGTCGGATGCGGACTGTCTTCCATACCGCCTGATGATCGAGGCGCTATCGGAGAAGAAGAAGAAGAAGAAGAAGAAGAAGAAGAAGAAGAAGAAGAAGAAGAGGAAGTCAGAGCTCAGAATCGGAAGCAATCGCAGAGTGTGGAAAAGTGTGCTACCAGAGAAGAAGAAGGCGGAACGGACAAGGCCGGAGCGAAGGAATGAGGCGGCGGTGTCCACACCGCGGGTGGAATGTGCTCTGCCTGTGGCCGCCGGGAGAGGAAGTGGCGGAGAAGGCCAGCTGAACCTAGAGGAGAAGATGGGGAAAGGGCCTTTTATGGAGGTTCCGGTCATGCGATCGACGGATCTCGACATCGGCCAAAAATGCAGGGTGGAGGCGACGGCTTGGGACCGGATTGTGCCTTCGGGAACGCGAAAAGCACAAGTGGAACCACAATTGTCGCCCACCCATAGGGGCGAGCAGAAGATATCGCCGGAGGAGAGAGGCGGCGGTGCTCTGTTCTGGTGCTACCTCCAGCTGTGGGGAGTGGGCCAAGAGAGGGTGTCTGCAGGTTGTAATGGGCCAAAGGACGTGAACAAATGGGCAGGGAAATGCCAAGCATGTCTTGGTCACGACCTGGAGAATAAAAAGAAGAAAATGGGCTTACCATGGCCCAGGCCAACCAAGAGATTGGGCCGCAGACAAACTTGAAGATCGGATTGTAGTCTGACCAGCCGTATAGGTCGAATTTAAGAGAAAAGTGGGCCGAGCTGCAGGTTGGTTGCGGATTGCATCGACGGCATGAAGAAGTGGTCGAGTTGGTCAACCTTGAGGGCAAGGTTGGTTTCAAGGGGGAGGAGATGTTAGAAACCGAATTATCTAGGGTTTCTATATTTATTATTTTAATTATTATTAGGGTAAGTCTTATTATGGTTAGTAGTCTTTTAGTAGAATTAGGTTTAGTATTAGGGTTTCACATCTTTCGTTATAAATATGTACTCTGAGTCTACGTTACGATTAGTCAAGAAAGAATTATCAAATAATCTCCTAAACCCTAATCTCCCTATTTTCCCAATTCTCGATCTCAATCCCTCTAAAGGCCTAGGCCGATTCTCTTCTGTTCTTCCCCAATTCTTCCCCAATTCTTTCCCAAATCCCTAATTCTATCTTCTCAATCCCTAAATTCCCAAATATCACCCAATCCCAAATCCCGTTAGAAACTTTGTTTCTAACAGATGCAATGCATGCTGCAGTTACAGCTTAAGCATCGTAACCCTGCAAAGGTCATCTGTCCCACCTATCTTGCCGAATTATGTTTCATCTATATGACAGAGGGGCGCATTGTTGAGTTCACAGCTGCTCTAATGGCCGTACAAATTCTTCTTCGGCTGGACCATCCACTAATTCCTCAAATGTCTTTCCATATAGTGGGCAATAAAAAGTCTCCCCCAACTGTTTATGAATATTTACTGCATCAATTGAAGAAAGTGCTTGACGAAGAAATCTCCTTAACCGGAAAAAGCGAGGACAGTGTTACTGTTCAGCTTGTCAAGGAGAAACAATCGGTGATTTCTTCTGCATTATTATTAACAAAGATATTCGAAAGGTCTGCACAACATATAAATTGGTATCTTCACTCAGCAAGATATGAGGTTTGTATCTTGTCCTTTCCATTTCTGTTTAATTAAGTGTTATAGCTTGTTGCCAAAGGTGCAACCTTCTTGTTTTTTTTTTGCTGCTTATAACTTCTAACAGGTAATACAAGAACGTGGGGATTTGAAGCTGATTGTAGATGATGTTGCTTCCTTTCTTGAAGACTCGGGCTTTTTGTTAACATCTCAAGACATTTGTGTGAATCACATGGAGTGGTAAGCGTCGGTTGTTCTTTGGCGTCTTCCCCCCTCTCGACTGACGATTTAACATGTTTGGCAACTCTTGTTTCTATGATTCTCCATCAACCTGTCGTAGTTTCCTTTTGTCCTTCCAACTAATTGTTGCAGTTTCCTCAATGTCTTCTCTAATTCTGTGTTTGGGTGTCGTGTTAGTTTCTCAAGCAAATCAAGTGTTAGCAAAACTGAGTTAAAAGGAGATTCATGGCTGTTTGGGCCACATATGCAGAGAGCTTCATATGTAAAGGTCTCTTGAAATCTTTGTACAATCTTGATTTAATATTAAGTTCCCTTCCCTGCTTCATTCATCAGAAAACTGTGAACATCCTTGCTTCTTCAAACATCTCTACTACCTTCATTCAATATGAACATTGTTGCTTGGTTGTTCCATCATATGTAATTGTGCAGGAGAAGAAAGCAACTGGAGTGTCGAAGGCAATAATGTCAGCCGAAAACATTAAATCTTCTTTGCTTGTTGGTTCATCCATTAACAAGCTTTCAGCACGCTCTTATCACTCATTCCCAATGCTTAGGTATGGAGCATCTAAGGGCGTCTTGGTGCCTACACAAGATGGGGTCAATTTGTTAACGAAAGGGGTCGAGTCTGCAAGATGGTCAGATTCTATACTGAGAAAGAGCTCGAGGTGTTTGACAATGACTAGGAGAATAATTTTGCGTCTGTAACTCTACCCGGGGCTTTGCTCGTGTTGTAGTAGTAGTCATTGTTACACAATAGACTTTGAGAGTAGAGCAGGTTGAACTATTGTTCCTAGAACATCAGAAAACTGTGCCAAGACTTATTTTCTTCTTCTTCATCATCATTTCTGCATTCAAAATCAAGTCTCATGTAAAAGTGAACGGCCTATGTTCCTTCTCTTCTTTTGTACCCTGTGTATCTTCTCTGATATAATCGAGAAATCCTTTTCTTGTTACTGTTTTCAAGGCAAATGGCAGAAAATGGAAGGAGTCCCCTTTGTTACTTGAATATGGATACTTGCAATTTGGTCAGAAAACTGATCGGTACTGTTTTAGTATAATGGTAACCAATACCCCCCTGCAGTAGAAGAATCACTACCCAAACCCACTCCAAGATAATCATGCAAATAAGGCTTATCATAAAGGGCTACTCACCAATCTGTTTCCAGTATCCGCACAACGGTTTTGACAGTTGTGTTGGATTGCAACTTACAAAGGTGTAGTAATAATTCATTGACTTGTCTTTATTGGAGCTTCCTGCATTGGGATACAAACTGCAAACTGAAGATTCTTGAATCAATGTAGCTTGTTGGTACATGGCAGAGGGTAGTGGAGTGCAACTGTGCAAGGTCTGATTCTGTGAAAGAAATCAATAAGGGCGGTTATAGGACATGCTAGATAATTGAACAAGGCATCATATCACATGGGATTCATAAAATGTACCATATTACACTCGTCAACCTTAAAGTTGACATGTCAACTCGTCACTGATTCTCTTCCTTATGCTTGCTCCATCTTCTTGATGCACTCTGAGTATGTCCCATGAAGAAATCAAATTTCCAGCAAATGACAAATCGTTTAATCAGTCACCGATTTCCGACTTTGATGGGGTCTCTTATGCCTGGTGCAAACACTAAACGATTGAAGGAGCATCTATTTTGGTAGATGGTGTACTGTCACAACCTTAGAAGGGGTATAAATCATCATCGTGTAGAATCTATAATATGGAACTACATGAACACATGTCATACAGTGAGTATGAACCACAATCATTACATGTTCCTTCTCTGACAATCAAGATCAAAGAGGCCTCATGGTTGGTAAATAAGGCAACAAGTAAAACACTAGGACATGCAATGAACATGGAACCATGGTCATAATAGCAACAATAATTCACAAGACAGAGCAAAGCGAAAAGACATAATCATTACAGCAAAGTTTGTAAGCGGGGACATGATACCACCAGTACCTCTAAAAGCTCCTCAGTGTCAAGTAATGGCTTATCTTGGTTGTGGCAGGAAGCTGGAAGGACGTAGGAAATTGAGCTGATCAAATACCAAAATATGGGAAATAAGATCCAAGTCTAATCAGTTCGGACTTGTTATTGAAGGAGGACCATTCAAACTTAATTGGAAAACTATCCTTCACACAACCACTACTATTATAGAATCGACATCTTGCATGCAAATCCTGGCATCCATTTCCCTCTCCTCATCTTGCAAGTTTGCAGAGCAATATTTGGAATTTCGTTTGACCAATAAAGTTGTTGCTATAATAAAGAAAATTGCTGACCAAGGGAGGTTAACGAGGCAATTAAAAAGATACAGAAGCACTGAGTACTCACTCAACCCCTTGAGAACTTTCGTCAATACTTAGAGCACGGATTCCCTAATTCTAGATGCCAAAAGCTCTTAATAACACAGTTCATTGGGAAGAAAACAACGCCAAGGTAGTCTACGTCATGGGGATGATGGTGAATCAAAAGCTTTTTGCAGAAGAGAGACAAGAACTCTTTTCACATTTGTATCCACCTCTCCCCAACTGACCAAGTTCACAATATCAGAAGGTAGCTACATCTGCAAGATCAAATGATAAAACCAAGACTGTTGGGTAGTTTAAATACCTTCACCAATAGAGTACACGATTCCTGAACTTAAGATGGAATTCTCATATCAGAGGAAAATCAACTCCCATCCCGGACTCTATATAGAATCAGTTTACAGGCTTCTATGTCATTTCAAATTGCTGGACTGACCGTTTGCAGACCAATGCCATGTATAGCAAGCTACTCAGCGACCAGATAATGAGTCACTGGAGTACAGTATCATCTTCTACCATCACATATATACCACTATGAAGCAGCTAACCCACCACGAATAAATCACAACTTGGGTTTCAGCTTTCCTGCTTGCCCTCCTCAAATCACATATCATCATGGCAAACTTTGTAACTACTTGGTTTCTGGAATAGGAAAAATCAAACAAGAATTACACCCATTATGGCAAACTTTGATCCCGAAACTCGAATTCTTCTTGCTCATCTGCCTCCAATACAAACAAACTTCGTAATTGGAGTGGAACCTCGATGTTGCATTGAATTTTCCAACAATCACCACACGATCAGTTATTGAGTGCAAATCACATAACTATCTTCCTCATCATATAACACCCGCAAGGGCACTTTATTCAACAACAAACTTGCTCACCTGGTCTGCCCTTCTGTTAAGCAATAACATGGGGATAACATTTCCTCTGCGCTTATATGCTCCTTACATGCCTATACAAGCACTCACTTTACACCCACCAATACGTAATATGAGAAATTGCAATCTCCTGATTAATACCACATGCGTTTGGTCAGTAGAAGGAAAAATAACCTGGGGCACAAAACTTTTGCTGTATGCTGCAATCACAAGTTTCCTTGCAACACACTTCAACTACTACACTTTCTGTTCTGACATAAGCGATGAGATGCAGACAATAAAAGTGGCCACCACTACAAAATAAATGCTCACTACATGCAAGAATTGAAGCCCCCTAATATTTCCATAGACCACGCATCAAGGATGATCCGGAATGAAAATTATATTATGAAACAAAGTGTACTTACTGCATTCTGAAAGGGGAGTAAAAACTACGACAACCTTACAAGACACCCTGCCTAGTATTAAGGGTGTCTTCACCGTAATCTTTAATGGATGTTTATATTGATCACAAAACAAATGGAACAGTGTCATACTTTATTCAATACAGTAACCAATTGTGTAACCCCATTGAAAAGCAGAAATATTTCCACAAGGCACTTCAAAGTTCTGTCTCAGAGAACTACACATTTTCTTGAGCATTGCAAGAGTCCTAGAACAGATTTCGCTCCACAATCAGAGTCAACTATTATGCAAGTTGAAGAGACTATTCAATAAAATTAACATGTTTATTAAAACCAAGGATGTTGTAGATCAGGACTCAAGTAGAGAACAAAAGATAATATGGTACATGGACTTGAATAAACAATAGATCATTGTTTGCTATAGGGTTCTTAAGTTCTCTTCCAGGATCTCAAGTCCTAAACTACAACACAATGAACTCCCATCGGAATGAATGAGTCTTGCTAAAATAACCTGACACCATATAAACAATTCCCAGGTTGCCTTCTAGGAGCTGCCATGCCATCTAAGAACACTAAGTCTACATCTTGCTTCTGGAAAAAAAAATGCTTTAATGGATAAAGCACGTCTTGGGTTTATGTACCTTACTGCATAAAACTGCATCGAGCACTTCCGGTTCACAAAATACTGTGGAAATTGGTGAACTGGTCATGGAGGGGAGCATTGTTGTCATATTGACATCTTGCTTCCGGAACCAACAAGGACCAACACAGTTTCAAGCTCTGTTGTCATATTGACATCTTGCTTCCGGAACCAGCATAAGCATATATCTCAAAGAACCAATTACAATGACAGACAAGGCAGAAGAGCAACTCCGACTAGCAGAGTTCTCTTCTATGACCTCATTTCCATGCACCTTAGAGAACCATGGACAAACCGACATTTGAGGCAGAAGAGCAGTTGCGACGAGTCACAACTCTCTTCTGGGACCCCGCTTTATCATGTTAAATCTTCTTGACATTAAGATGGAGCAAGAGCAAACTTGTGTAAAAAGAGGCTCAACTATACAGACTGAATATTTTTTATAAATCGATTGTAGGAACTAGGAAGAATCACCTCACTGTTTCTCAATCTAGACACTATACGGACCGGCAAGAGCAAACGTGTGTACAAAGGGACTCAACAGGCAACAAGGTATTTCATAGATCATACATTCAACGTAAGTACGTAACTGGACTGTCCCAAAATCATATAAACCAGCAAGATTGCAGCCGTTCCGAGAGGACAGAAAACCCCTCAAAGTCCCATCTTAATCCCTCCTAATTATTATCCAACGCAGAAAATGAAAAGGGTAGGTTGGCGGAAACATACCTCATCCGGGAACCAACAACGAATTCAATCGGAAGTGTGGGCGAGTAGGCTCGAAGCCAAACATCACCCGTCGTCAGTCACTAGAGATATGAAGTATACACAACTATACCACCATGGCGTCCTTTGTAACTGCTTGGTTTTGGGAATAGGAAAAATCAAACCAGAATCAGACCCAAAGAAGCAATAGGACAGAATGCCATGATGCAGTGTTCTCAAGTTATTTTGATAAGAAATAAGAGTTCTCTAACTTAATTTTAACATCATTTCAAAAGGCCAGTGAGCAAAGCAACTCTCCAGTGGCGGACTGAAGGGAGCACTTGAATCGAAACTCAAATTCTTAATTTACCTCCAATAGAAGCCAAATCCGTATTTGGTGCAGAATTTCGATGTTACATTGGATTTTCCAACAACCAACACATGATCGATAAGTCACCGAGTGCAAATCACTTAACAGTTAACAATCTTCCTCATCAAATAAACCCTCAAAAGCATTTTATTCAAGTACCACCAAAGCAAAACAACACGGGGATAGCATTTCCGCTGCACTTATATATATGCTCCTTATATTCTTGTAAGTGCACTCACATTGCGCCCACCTTTAGGTAAGAGTTTTAGCAAACTGCAATGAAGTGGAAAAATTGAATGCCAGCTGCTGATTAATACCACGCCCATATGATCAGTAGAAGGAAAAATAACCTAGGGCCGAAAAACTTTTGTTGCATGCATCAATCACAATTTTCCTTGCAAGACTTCAATTACTGCACTTTCGGTTCTGCATAAGCGATGAGATAAAAGCAATAGAAGTGCCACCGAGACCAGAATAAATGCTCATTACATGCAAGAACTAAGCTCCCTCCAAGAAGATTTTCATAAACCAAGCATCAATGATAACCCAACATGCAAAGCATAACATGAAATGAAGTCTACATACTGCATTCTGAAAGGGGAGCAAACACTACTAAGGCAACCTTACAAGACAGCCTGCGTAGTATTAAGGGTATCTTCATAGTAGTATTTATAGGCACTTACACCGATCACAAAAGAATTGGAATAGTGTCCCACTATTCAATACTCCACTTCGAGGAATCACCAATTGAGTAATCCCATTGGAAAGCGGAAAAATTGCCACAAGGCGCCTCAAAGTTCTGTATCTTACAGAATCATAAATTTCCTGAGCACCGCAAGCGTCCTAGGAACGTTTTCGTTTCACAATCACAGTCGACAATATTGCAAGTTGAAGAAACTATTCATAAAAATAAACATGTCTACAAAAACGAAAGTTGATTAGATCAGGACTCGAGCAGAGAGCAAAAGATGATTTGGTACGTGGACTTCAATAAACAACAGATCATAGTATACTATGGAGGCTCCTGAACCAGATCACAGTGAACTCCTATAACAATGAATTAACAGTTTTGGAATACATTGACACCATACAAAACCTCTCAGGTTGCCTTCTAGGAGTCGCCACGCCATCTAAGAACTCTCAAGTCTGCATCTTGCTTCTGAAAAATAATATGGAGAAGCATGTCTTGGGCAGTTGGGCTTATATACCTTACTGTAGAATACTAGTCCTGTTTTCACTATAAAAAAAATACTAGTCCTGTAGTGATCATTGTCAAGTCCCCCTATAGTATCTTGCTTTCTGAACCAACAAAGGCAACACATTTTCAAGCTTAGTGGCAGTATACCAGTGTAGCAGTACTTATTTCTGATCTCTTCTCTTAGACTCCATTTAGGAATTCCACTCTGCGGTACAGAAAACCAACAAATTTAAGGTGGACAGAAGGGCAACTGGTAGAACACAAACATTCCAATCTCAATTGCAATTAGAACTGGGCATCACTTTCAGTAAGCAAAACTTGCTTTAAAGACTGCCAATCCATAGCTTACAGTCCCCACCCATGATTGTGATTTGAGGGAAGGATACTAGAACAAATCCATGAACAAATGATCATTTCAATTCAATTATAAGCCAAATTCAGACGCAACTTTTAGCAGCCCCTAGTTTTGATACATAGGGACAGTTGGACAATGATTCTCCATAGGTATCAATAATAAATGGCAAGGCAACTTGATTAGAAGACAACAGTTACATGAGGCATCAAGTAAAAAAGCTGAACTTCCAAAAAGAACAGCCATCAAAACCAACCATTTTACATAGTTGCAGCTCTGGCAGAACTTCAACACATGTACGGTCCAATTTCTTTACTTTGCATAAAAAATCTCGACTCAATGAATATCAAATTTCAATACATCATATTCTAAAAGAACAAAAGGGAAGTGTTAGCACCACCTTAACACCAATGATATCACAACAGAATCTGTCTTCCAAAATTTCTAGTGTAAACTAGCTTGTAAGGCAACAGTATCGTAAATGGAGCAGGATCAAGGCTAGCAAAGCTGCCTTTAAAGAAGTAACCATTCAAGAGTGACAGCTGGAGAGTTCCAATAAATGTAGGGTCTAATCTCTTACTGGGAAGAAAAAGATATCGATTTCATGAATTTTAATCCATCGTCATATATGCTATAAAGGAACCAAGAGTGAATCGTTAGAAGCACCATAACACTGACAAAATCAGATCAACATCCTTCTTCTTGACATCCTAGTGTAAACTAGCTTAGAGGGCAACAAAATCTAGCTTGTAAAATGTTCAAACCTTAATCCTTCCAATTTAGAATTTAGATATGGCTCCAGAATCATACTAGCTTTAGAAGGCAGCAAAACTAGAGAACATGAGTCTCTTGAATCAAAATTCTTTTAAAAGGGAGAAAAAAAGGAACACATGGATTTACAGTTAAAGAAACCATGATTTTAACTTTCCAAAATCAAGAGACAGCTCAGTATTAAATCCAAATGCCTTGTTTGGGGCAGAAGAGCAACTGCGACTAGTCATAGCTCTCTTCTAGGACCCCGCTTAAACCTTCTTGACTTCAAGACGGAGCAACCACCATGTGTACAAAGGGACTGAACTATAGGGAGTGAATTTATAATACCGTAGGAACTGTTTCTCCATAGACAGTTAGACACTATACAAAAGTATCCGAAAAGAATAGATCTTATATTCTTCATATGCTAATTAAAGCACCGTAGAGAAAATGGTAGGATGGGGCAAAAGAGCAACCAAGACTAGTTATAGTTCCCATCGAGGACCCCATTATCAAGCTTTAGAGTCATATAAAAAATCAAACATGGGGCAGAAGGGCAACTAAGCCTAATCTTGGTTCTCTTTTAGGACCCCATAAACATATATCTCAAAGAACCAATTACAATGACAGACAAGGCAGAAGAGCAACTCTGACCAGCAGAGTTCTCTTCTAGGACCTCATTGCCATCCACCTGAGAGAACCATGGAAAAACCGACATTTGGGGCAGAAGAGCAGCTGCGTCGAGTCATAGCTCTCTTCTAGGACCCCGCTTTATCATGTTAAAGCTTCTTGACATTAAGAAGAAGTAAGAGCAAACTTGTGCAAAAAGGGACTCAACTATGCCGACTGATTTTTTTTTATATAAATCGATTGTAGGAACTAGGAACGATCATCTCACTGTTTCTCAACCTACACACTATACGGACCAACAAGAGCAAACGTGTGTACAAAGGGACTCAACAGCCAACAGTGTAACTCGTATATCTCACATTCAACGTAACCAGGCTATCTTGAAATCATATAAACCAGCAAGATCTCTCAAAAAACCCATTGTAAACCCTCCCACTTAGTATCCCGCCCAGAAAACAAAATGGATAGGTCGGAAACATACCTCAACCTGGAACCAACAACGAATTCGATCGGAAGTGTCGGCGAATAGGCTCGAAGCCAAACATCACCCGTCGGCAGTCAGTCGAGTAACAAATAGGCAACAGATATGGAATCCACGGGGCAACTACTTACAGGCGGCGACCAGCAGCGAATTAATGGGTTTTCTGAAATCATCTTTCCCTTTGCCTTCCTCAGAAGGCTTCTTTCGATGATCACCGGGGCAACATGAGAAAACTCAAGCAGGCGGTAGCGAACTAGAAACCCTAGAAGGAAAGAGTAAGTGACTTTACTTACTTCTCTTCAATCCCATTCTTGGAGAGAGATGATGAAGACGTTGCTGGGTGGAGGGAAAATGAATAAGAGAGCATCAATTGGTATTTATAGATCAAGGCGGAGCTCTGAAGGCGGTTTGCTAGGACGCGTTTTTGCCGCTTATAGCGTTATTTAGCCGTTAGACGCGTTTCGAACACGTTTCATACTCGTTTCAAACGCTTTTCGAACACGTTTCACTATTCCGTGTACCGTTATTTCCGTTGGACGCGTTATTTAATTACAATTGCCAGCTTTTATTGTAAAAAAAAAAAAAATTGACCGCCAGCTGGACTTTTTCCCGGTAAATAAGTAGACTGGATGGATAACAATACCAGCCCAACAATAGAAAAATGGTCCATCAGAATGTAGCCCAATAGAAAAATGGTCTATAAATTAAACGAAATAAAAATTATTTATTACAATTATGCCAATACACAATTTTCAGTTTAAAGCAAGGCCCAGTATCCTTATTGGTCTTAATAGAGCCCAATTTTATGATTTTTTTTATGGCAACCTAATGTCAGGTTTTTTTTTTATAGAAGCCTAATGTTAGGATTAGGAATTATGATGACCCTTAAACGACAAATTTAGCACACACTATTGAGTTCGTATGAACTACAAGAACTGAATCTCTTTTATTAGTTTTTTTTTTCAATCATCTTTTTACTTAATTTGTTTCTCTAGAACTTAAATGGAAGCAAAATTTATCACATATTTGGGGTTTTATGTTTAGTAAAATTACACATAAATATAATTTTTATTTTATTTTTGGGTCTATTTGAGATAACCGCAATACTAATGAATATAAAAATATATTCCTTCAAAAAATGAATATCAAAATATAAGCTAGTGAGCATTCTATCCTCCCAAGTCCCAACTAGGCTTCCTCATTCACGGCTACCTAGTGGCAGATCCTGAAAGGTGTCATCATGTAAAAATTAATTTAAATTAATAATTAAATAATCCATAAATCATAAAATATTCTATTAGTACAAATTTAACAGAACGCCACAACGTGTCTTCGTATTCTGTAAAAAAAATATAAAATAAACTCGGTGTCTATACTGCTCAACAAATATGTATGTTCTACTAGACATTAATTCACAAACTAACCCCATATTCGATTTCTAACTTTGTTGTTGATGTAACTCATAGTTGAAAAGATTCTTTCAACACTTGCCGTGTAACCATAAAATTAATTCAAATTTAGAGTAGTCCGTAATTAGGTTAATTGTTAGGGTTTGAAAATACTGGGGATAAGGAATAACATTATTACTATTACATAATGCTTAAAATAGAACAACAAATGAATTGCAACCTAACGGAGAATATGTTTAATAATAGTAGTGTCCTAGGTTGAATGACACATACCACCACCACTTATATTTTTTAATCATACGCAAACTACTATCGAGGGTAGGCTAATCATTTTTTTAATTTTAGAAGTATTTCAAATTATCAATTATATCATTTTATCCATACAAAACTACTATCGGGATTGAATAATCATTTTCTCAAATTGTATGGGTATTCCGAACACCCATAAAATCTCATATATCCTCCCCTGCTACTACTGGACCTTCATCCGCCAAAATAATCACTTAATTATACATAGTTTATTCACTCACTATTATTTTATATGTGATAACACAAATCGAGTGATACATGCCTTAGAATCCCATCTTCCTTTAGATCCATCTATTTTTTGGAGTGCATGAATAAGAAGGAACAAATGGCGTTAAAAGTACAAAAAACGAAGTTGAGGGTACAAATTGAAAACATCCAACAAGTCTAGGGGGCTAAACTAGATAAAAATAAATAGAAACAAGAGGGAGAAAGAAGTGGAAAAGGCCATTAGCGACCGATTGCCATTTCTTCGCTCAGCACTCGCCGGCTATTTGGTCCCGGAACGAGTCCCTTTCATTTAGTTCGCCAATCGTCTTCCACCGCCGGAGCTGTTGGTTCCTTCAAGCCGCCACCGAGTAGAACAAGACTGCCATGAAACCTCACATCACGGCACCGCTAATAACCTCGCCTACTTGAAGCCGCCTTTCCTCCGCCACCTCCTCCCGACGAGCTCGTGTTCAACTCCTACCTCTTTCTCAAGGTAATTCGTCCTTTGTTTTCCCACAATTTTCGGGGCCCCTACCTGTTCGATTAATTTCCCAAGAGAGACTAGACTGGTTTCAGATAATTTGGTTGATATCATGCATTGCAACGGGTACGAGTTACTCATTGTTTGAATACGGATTCTGATGATGTTATATTTGGTTGGCTGCTCAGTGCAATACCTAGTTCTGCCCTGAACATAGTCGATTGAACAGAAGACAGTCAGTCGGTTCCTTTGTTTCTTCTTATCAGTGCTTTATGACTTGTTCACTTGAATGAATGCGAGAGTAGAAAAGACTCTGATTCAATGCCTAATTTCAGGTTGGATCTTTATTACTTCCTCAGTGGTCAGCACTAGAATCAATACACATACATATGCAGTCAAAATAGCTTGGAGATGGGTAGTGAATTCATAACCGCCCACTCTGTCTCTAATATACAACAAGTTCGGAGTTTATTCAAGCTCGCTTATTTTACATGACCGAGCAGAATCTCGGTGGGATTCCAGAGATATAAATGAGTTATTGTCATCCATTGATGCGGTTAAGAATGCTTGTTAGAATCGCATCATTGCCCTCTTTATCACTGCCAAGAACCTCCAATTCTTCCTTGACATAGCATCTAATCGTCTTGTCGCTTCCACTTTTTTTTCTACAGAACTTACCCCATTCCCCGGTGGTAACGACAAGGACTTATTCCCTTGGTACCTTGAAGTTGGGAATGAGTGATAAGAGCGAGCTGAATGTTTGCCAATGGATGGAGCTGAAAGTTCGCTAATGCATGGAGCGCTGAAGGATGACTTGATGGTTCTTGTGGAAATTGTCAGCGACTTTCCTGTATGCGGAAGTGGTCCGAAGGATGATGAATTTCCACGTAACTTGGTTTTGCTGGAACCTGATTTGCTCGAGAAACTATGACAATACAGAGAAATATAATATTAGCAACATCAAGAAGGAAAGAAGTTACTGTCAAAAACTACAACATACCAGTTCAAGTCATTCACGTAGATATCCTGAGGTCTTAACGCAAAGCCCGTGCCTTTTAACAAGGAAGCAACATCGTTTACTATCAACTTCAAATCAGCAACTTCCTGTGGGAACAAGACAGTTTATTCAAAGGGAAGTGACCAGCTGACCATGTTTTGACAACTATCAAGCAAATTAGACTATATGAATAGGAAGCACACACCTTATATCTTGGTGAGTGAAGATACCAATTAATATCTTGTGCAGCTGTATCGAATATCTTTGTTAGTTGGAATGCAGATGATATCATCAATCTTTTCTCCTTGCAAATCTGAACAGAGTCATTGTCCTTCGGTTTCCCAGTTAAGCTTATTTCTTCATCAAGCACTCTCATCAAAGCATGCAGCAACCACTCATATACAGTAGGGGCGACAGACTTGTGATGATGATGATCCACATCATTATTGCTATGACGAGATGTTTGAGGACGTAGTGGATACCCCAACCGAAGAAGAACTTGCGCAGCCATTAGAGCAGCTGTGAAATTAACAATTTGGCCCTCCGTGATATAGATGAAGCACAACTCAGCAAGATACGCGGGTTGGATAACAGTTGTAGGGTTGACATACTTGGGCTCCAACGGTAACACGGATTGCATCTTTTCTACCACGTCAGGGATGCAAAATATGAAAAGCAGCTTGAAAATGGACATTTGGGATGTCCATTCCTTCAAGCAAGGATGATGGCTGCAGAAGAACAACAGAAAACTCGATTGAATCAATTGGAAGGATCCTCTGAATGGACGAAAAGGACAAGAATTTCTTGTTCATAATGGCACCAAACAAATTAGTGAAGGGAGTGTACCATAACTTCTCGATGGCCTTGTTGAAGTCCGAATCAAGGATTTTACTCCTGCAGACATGTGGTGGTCGAATCAAGAGCTCCAATCCAGGGTAATCGTCTCGCAGGTTCATCCTACAGGACCACCGAGCAACCAGGTTAAGTTTGGGTACAAGTAAAAGTGCATAGAACATCAACAAGAGAAGCCATGTATCTTAAACTTATTGGGATAGTTACCAGTAATGATAGCCACCATGCATCGTCTCCTCGCTCGGATGGGCGGTCCTGACCGGGCTGTCAACAAACAACAGTCAAACTTTATACGCATATATGTGGATTATGCAAAATCGAAATTAGCGGAAGTTACCAACGTAGAGAAGCCATCGGAAAGCCAGCTTCCTTGAGCACAGTCTTAAACTGTTGAGCTATTGGGTAATCGGGAAGAAGAGGATATATTTCCCTCTCCTTTTCCCTTTCCCATTTCTTCTCCTTTTCCTTCTCTAACATTGCCATTACGTTACACAACTGGGGGCCAGCCCTGCGGAAGACTTCGAGCAATTGCAGGGAACAAGTGATGCTTGATATCCTGCAGTGCAGATCGTGGCGGATAGATTTATAGGGGAGACTACGGTTGGGTTCAATGGCGAGGCTAATGCCAGTGAGAAAAGCAAGCTGAGCAATAAGGAAATCCCGGAGTGACAAAGGGGCGGTTCCAAAACGCTGCTGGAGAATGGTGTCCCTGAAGAATGTTGGGGAGAGAACTCGGTCAGGTACCGCGAGCAAGAGCCAAAGCAGCTTGGGAGCTTGGCCGTACCTTGCATAGTGCAGAATCCTCATCTCCAGCAGCCCTTGTTCGGTGGCCCGCCCCAGCAGCTTGACCGTGTGCCACCAGTCGAAATCGTAGCTGATCCATTTGGGAAGCCAGTGCATCAAAGTGCAGAGCCTTTGATCATAATAGATCTTGCCCTTGGGTGCCGAATCAAACTGATCCAAGCAACTCGCATATAATGCGGCATCGATTGGAAGCTGATCCGGTTGACGATAATGTGTTGGTACCCTGGCACTGGGAGGAACCCCATGTTGCAAAAACAGCTCGACCGCCCCATAGAACCCGAGCTCAGCAGCTTCAAATATGAGCGGTCGGCAGCTGTCAGGATAAGCAAACAGATCCAAGCGATTGTGAGAGAGTTTGCGCTCGAGAAGTGCGGTGAGGCAACCGATTGCTCCTTCACGTAACAATTTGAACACAGTCCGACTGGGACATGTTTCATGGTTCGGGTCCAAGGACGCTAGAAAAGCTTCCACATTATCACCATCCTCCTTCTTTGGCACCCCAACGTCTGAGTTTGAGTAGTCTGAGTAACAGAAAAAGGGAAATTCAGTGTAGTAGGAGAGTGGTGGGAGCTTCCGTACGAACAAGACTTTCCCATCAGCTTGAGGTTGCCTCATCAGCTGCATATGAGACCTTAAGTGACCTCCCAACGACCTCCCGCTACGGAAGCGCCTGCCGCAGTACTTGCATAGGTGCTTCAACTCTACCTCCTCCTTGCCGTGATGATGATTAGCATTGTCTCCCATTGCCGCTGTAGCAGAAACAGAAGAACAATTATGAAACAGGGGAAGTTCAGTTCAGTAGTTAGAAGGGAAACAAAGGGAGATAGATCACAACCATTGTCAACCAGCTGATCGCATCCTTCCTACCCGTCGGCAACTTCTTTTTTGTCCTTCTCACGCCGAGCAGGAGAGACAGAGAGGATCCGCGAGCGAGCGAGAGAAAGAGAAAAGTTGAAGTAGGTTTTTTCTTTATTACATGGGCACATGGTTAAATACTTAAACTTAAACCGTTAAAGACCGCAACCATTTGTTCAAAAATACTAATTTAACACTTCAAAAAGTAAATAACTCAAATATAGCACTCAAATTCTCGTTTTGCTACAATGCAACTAGGATAGCAACCAAACCTTTAAATTTCATATTCAATCTAATCGAGGGTGAAATTTGACATCTTAATTAAATAACTAGTTGATTTTTTTTGTACACAAGCAATATTAGTTGATTTTTTGACATCTTAATTAAATGCCACATTTGGTCACTGAGATTACTAAATCGTGTCATGTTTAGTCACTAGAAAAATTTAATATCAATTTTGGTCACTCGAATTACTGAAACATGTCACATTTAGTCACTCTCCCGTTAGCCTCCATCCAACTCCAGTCACTCGAATTTAATAGACTACAAAATCAAATTTATAGTCATCCAATTTAAGAAAATTTAATGGCTCAAATCAAATCATAACAAAAAAAAAATTTCAAGTGGAGTGGACAGGTAATTCTGCATCCCTTGCTTTTTAAATAGTTGACAGTCTGACATGAATCCAGAGGAGAGAGATTATACTTTTTTTAATTTTTAATTTTTCTTAATCGGATCCTAACTCTTTTTTTTTGTCATAGATATAAGTAGGCAGAAGTTACATATAATATACAAAAGATGATAGTCGCTACTAAGCGAATTATCAATTCAAGAGCTTTTAAGCCACAATATGGGCAGCCCTGAACAGCCTAGGCATATGAACTGATAATACAAAATAAATAGACAAAACTAAGATTAAGGATACACCCTTGAGCAGCTTCACACTAACATGCCAATCACAAAAATCGTGCAAAAGAGTGCGTCTCCTTTGAGCAGCTTCACACCCTTGGACACGGATCCTAACTCATTCATTTAACTTTGAATTTAAAAAATTTTGCATAGAAAGAACACACTAACTATACTATGATATCCATTTGACAATATTCTGAGCAAAAAAAAAAACATGTATTGATTGTAGTATTATGATTGTCATTTGACAATGACATAATCACTCAACTCCTACATTTTAACTTAAAATTTTAATAATGTTGAACAAAAAAATCACGGTTGTTAAAATTGGATTCGACCGGTAAAACCAAAACCCAACCACCAGTTAGGCTCGAGTTATATTTAACGGCTGCCTTCACCCGCCAGTACACTCCAATTGGCCTTTTTTCATTTATATTAATTATTTATAATCGAGATAAATTATAGTTGTCTTCACCGCACTCACTTTTTGGGTGTGATGCGTCTAGCTCATAAATTGTCATTTTAAGCATATAATTCATGTTAAAACGATGTTAAACGTCACTTGTGATATGATGGACAAGAAAATTGGTGAATTTGCACAAAAAATCATTTCAGATTTACTACGATTTAAATAATATAGGGCTTTTAGGGTAAGGGTTTATAGTTTAGAATTCGGGTTTAGTGTTAGGGATTAAATTAAAGGTCTAGGGTTTGGTAATACATAATTTAGTTGTGATCCTATGTTATATCATCCCAATTAAATAAATGAAAAATTGTTGTTTTAAAGCTAATTTTAGAGTAGATACATATAATATGTTCTATTTTTATGAGTACATTGTAGAAGCCACCAATAAGTTAGTTAATAGAAAAGAAGTTTAACAAATCCCAAATCTCTAGGTGATATTTTGTATTTGGTACCACATGTGGTAATTCACTTTTTAACTTAGTTTATAATAAATAAAAGTATTAGTGTGATGTTTACATCTCGTACTAATAACTATCGATTATGAATGTGACGCGTACAAACATCGAGTGATGACATCTTAAAATCCCATCTTATGGCGTTAAAAGTATAAAAAATGGTTGAGGGTTCAAATTGGAAACATCCAACAAGTCCATGGGGCGAAACTAGATAATATAAAAGGTTGTTTGTTTGATGGATTTGGTAATGGGTTTGATTATGGATTTGGATCATGGATTTTGTTCAAACTCCATCCTTTGCTTTATGTATTTTGTGGCAACAAATTCGTGGGCCCCATGGACTTTAAGTGTTCGAATTTGTGGGTCCACGAACTTGAAAATTTCAGCTCTTTAGGTGAGACTTGAAATGCAGATATCTTTTGCAGACAAGTAGCCTTAGTAAAGGGTTCAAATTAATCAGTTCAATTTTTGCGTCTCCTTTGTATTTCAACACTAGAGTATGATGATGGCCTCTGGCATCCGATTGATTCATCACACAACATTGTACAATAACATCCAAGTGAATACCTTTATGATTTCCACCCCTAATTCTAATGCATGCAATGAGCCAATCAGCACTGCATTGGCCATCTTCGACAATGAACCAATGCGGAGTTGGGATTCCATTCCCATTGGCAATTCATTGCTATTCAGAAAGATGCCTTCAAGGGGCTACAATATCAACAACTACATTTCCATTTCCCTTTCTATGGAAAAAATTATTGACTGCTCTTAAAAGATGAACAACAATAATTTAGTCAACAGGTTGAACAAGAATTAAATAATCAATCAATTAAATATGATAACTATACACCTTAAATGTATACCTTTCCCCCAAATTTAACATGATTAAGGAATGAATAAAGTGGATGTAAGATTTTTGGATTGTAAGGTTGTATGCACCAAAATTTAACTTTGAGAAAAAGTAACTTTGAACGATTTAACTCGACATATTGCTTATTTTAAACACAATGTGACTCTTTTGTAGTTAAAGGTTGGATCTTGAATTGTTGATTATTTAATTGTACATCTCCCTACGTATACCATTTTTTTTTTGTTGACTAGACAAAGTGGCCCGGTCTAACAATTTCAAGGTCACCAAATCGACATTTTTGTGATCGGTCCTCTTTCTCTTCTAATATATATAATACTTTAATGTTGTTTCTGAAACTTATTTCTCTTGGAAACATCCTTGAGTTTATGGTCATTTTTTAAAAAATATATCGTCGAGTATATGTATAATTGTATTTTGCATGTCGTTACCAAACTTTTTGAGCTATAATTTGAGCTGAACTTACTTTTATTGAATTTACCAACCACATTAGGTTTCATGTTCTATGATACTATAGCTACTATCAAAATTCCAGTTTTTTGTCGAAGTAATTAAATATCGTCTTTCCAAACATGTCTTCTTGAATGGAAAGTGCAAAAATATCGTTTTAAAAAACTGGAAGGTGCAAACCATCATTGCCCACATTTATTATGGATATCCTATTAACTATAAGAAGGGGTGGCATGGAAAGCAGAAACCCATAACCGTCGTGTTTGGCGACTGGGAAGAATCATATGCATACCTTCCCAGATTGATTTTGGCGTTGGAGAAGTCTAACCCCGACATTGTTTTCTCCACACACTACCAAGATGAAGAAAATTAGCCGCCGGAGCCCGGTAACAAATGCAAGTTCAAATGCCTTTTCTGGTCATTCAAGTCATGTCTTGATGGTTTTCCCTTCTATGTCCCGATTATGCAAGTGGATGGCATGTTCCTTACTGGCAAATAGAAGGGCACTCTCCTGGTTGCTAGTGGAGCGGATGCAAACAGGGGTACCTTTCATATAGCCTTCGCCATTGTTGAGGAAGAGAATACTGAAAGCTAGGGATGGTTCTTCGACAAATTCACCTCCACGCCATCAAGAAGACGAACCTCACAATCATCTCTGATCGCCACGCCAGGATCAGAGTTGTCATCTTAGACTTGGATCTAACGTTGAAGTGGTCCCAGAGGTGGTGCATAAGACACTTCAAAAGTAATTGAAACCATCATTTCAAACGGGGGAAGCTTGCTGATAATCTGTGGTGGACTGCTAGGCATTCTATTTCCTTCTGTATTTATGGAAAGCTCATATCATTGTACACAAATGTTAACATACGCTTCTGTATGTCCCTCAGCTATTGCCTACCAAGAGAAGAAATTGAATGAGAAGTTGTATAAAATCCGTGAGTTATGTCCTAAAGATGCGCCGTGGCTTGATGAACATAGCCTATCCATGTGGACTTTTCATAAGGATGGAGGTACCAGTTGGGGTATTGCCACAACAAACTCAAGTGAGAGTATCAACTCTGTCTACAAGGTTGTTTGTGCACTGCCAATCTCTTGCCATTGTTTGACTTTTTGGGGAAGAACACTCCTCCGATCAGGCCGATGATGTAGACACGCACATAAATTTCCTTGTCCATCTCATCACTTTCCTCAGTGAGGGGGTTTCCATGCTCCTCGGGTTGTACTTCCTCTTGATCTCCGTTATTAATCAAGTTATTGATACTTGGTTCTTCTTCAAGGGTGACTTCCCATCCTCTACAACGTCACCTTCTGAGCTGTTTGGCACGAACAACCCCAAAGCACTCTGGAGCAAATATTGCCAAACGTTCATATTCTCGTCATATGAAGTTGGTGGATCTGTGGATGATTGTCCACAATCATCGCATCGCCATCGATAGGCAAATGCGTTAGGATGGCGATGTCCTTCAAAGTGATGGAGCACTCTCCTTCATGGAAGTTGAAGTTATGTGTCTCTTTGCCCCACCTCTCCACCAATGATGTGATGAGTTGACCATTAATCTTGATGCCAACAAAGTGCCTCATAGTCCAAATCATTGAAAATAATCAATACAAAATTATACCTTAACAAAATAAACTATGACAAAAAGTTGAAGAATTATACGTACCGACAAATTGTTCCAAACATCCATTGAATGATGGTTAGGTTGGTCATACAAAACACTTACATCATGAGGTCCTTGATTAAGATAGTATCTTTGGTCATATATATCTACGTCTGTCGCAAACAAATATAACAAAAGAACA